CCTCCCTACAGACGATCGGGAACTGGGTTCGATCGTGCGATGGTCAGACAGATGATAGACAATGTGACGGGGATAATGGCATAAGCACACAAGGAGGTTTGGTCCTGGTAACCAAAACTGTGAGTGTGAAGGTGAAATATCTCTAGTTTAAGAATATACAAAAAACACACACATGACAACACATGCAAATCTAACCTTGCACCATTAAATATTGGTGTACTTCACTGGGGATCTGTCACCTGTTTGTTACCTCCAAAAATAATAATCTTAACCCTATTGATAAGTCTTGGTTTTGTAGATGAACATATTTAAACTTATTTATCTCTCTTTAGTCTCGGAAATATAACACTCCATTTTTATGTGTGCTGGTCAAGTTAAACAATTTCTTCCAAGATTAAACAGTTGCCAGAGGCAAATACGTTTACCAGACGTGATCATCAGGTGGCAGGGCTATGTGTGCTTACAGAAATTCCAATCCCCAACTATTTTCTCCTGACAATGACCTGTCAGCTAACTGTTCTGGTCTTGCCACAGTGTTTGTCTTGAAGACTCATCAAATGGATTGGTGTGTGAAACTACAGATATTTCCGCCAGTTTTTGAAATATGACTGAGAAGGACACCACATGTTTGACACTGTCAAGTCTGAGACACTGTCAAGTCTGAGACACTGTGTCTTTCCTAAAGGAATCTCCACTGTAACTGGTTAAGTAATGTTTATTAATATTATGATTTTATATGTGGGAAACTTTAAGCCTCAACATAGGAGAATTCAGCACTACATGGATGTGTTTAGTGTACTGCTCAGTGGCTTGAGTCAGTTACCTCCCTTGCCTCTGGAAGCTGCATGTTGATTATAACAGAACATCATATTATTTATTTCTCAAACTAATCTGGGCCTCAGGCAAATATTTATCGCCAGTTTGCTATCATAAGTAGAGAAACTAAGATGTGAAAACAAAATTCAAATCAACATGATCAACACATTCCCCAATAAAAGTAGTCTGTGGATTCAACTACACCTACTGTATCTGCAATCATCAGTTTGTCACATTAGCCACTAGTCTGAAGCCCAAGTCATGTAAAATTTCATTATAAATGTATTCAAAATGATGCAGAGAGCCTGGTCTAGTAGACTCAAACAAGTTTGGCACAAACTGAATAATTGCAATATATTTCTCATTAGGAATCTGGTAGACTCATGTAGTAAAGATCATACCCTTACTAGTGGTAGTGGGACGATGCACTGATGCATCGGTGGATAGCGAGTTTTTACTTCACAATTCAGTATTGATCACAATCGCATATTATGTAAACAGTACCGGTTCTTTAATAAATGTTACACCAAATACTTATTACTAGTGAAAATGAGAAGTGAAAACGTAAATATTTTCATCCATTGCGCCATACATGACACTGACAGCTGTAAATCGTTAGTGGGCCAGGTATTTAATCATCCTGCCTATGAAAAACTTGGTTTACAGATAAGAGTAAAATGCAAGTATCGTGATACATATCAGATCATGAGCAAGGTATCGTGATACGTATCAGATCTTACTGTTGGTGTATCGTCCCAGCCCTAATTACTAGCAAGGTATTACCTACAATACAGGGGTAGAAACTAACATTTTTAGTCCACTAGTCCTTATAATGATAACATATAGCAAAACCCTTAAAAATGGCAAATGTCGACTTGTCCTTAGGATACCTTAACTATTGGGCAGTTTGGCAAGGACTACAGGACTAGTGCCAATTTCTAACGCTGCCATACTAGATATTCTGGGTGCTGAATCAGGAGTTCAATTGAAGATGTTTACAACTCAGTAACATCAGTTTTGTTTAACACATTTTCAATTTCTGTGACTTGTTTGATGAGCAAATGTGTGACAAATATTTTCTCTGGCGATTACAACAAGCTTGTTTAGGACTGACTCCATTCCAGTAAATATTCAAAACATCTTGAGCATTTGTGAAAAATGGAGAAAGGTTTGTCAGTCTAGACTCACAATCACTGAGCATGCCCAGAACATAATTTCAATTTGTGACTTAAAATCTGTCCATGATCATGATGCTGACCTCAACAACAGTGCCAAATAATTAAAATAAATTAGACAAGTGAAATTATTATTAAAACTGCAGACCATTCTCACAGTTTTCACTCAGTGCTTATAATGTTTTCACAACATTGAAAACTAAACAAAGAACTATACAACACGGCCATGCTGGAATGATTTTATTAACATAATCACACATAATTCCACAAGCAAAGCTAAAAAAACAAAATTCTCACAACATCAAGTTAGTAGATAGGAAGTGAAATATGCAGGTGTTGTGAATTTACAGTACATAGTTCATGCACATGCAAATTATAAACAGGATGCACAAAAACACATGCAGAGAACATGCAAATATAATTATAGACCTGTTAGTGTTAGTGGTCATAAGGCAAACAGAGTTACTCCCCTTTGATTGTGTGCGTGTTCACTTTCTAGTGAGAAGATGTGGGACCAATGGGGTTTATCATTTATAAAAAAGCTGAACTGGGCAATACATTTACATACGAGGGGAGTTGAACCCAGGTTTACTTGTAGGCGATGGTAATAGGAAGAGGTACCAACCGAGCTACCTGAGATCTCCATTTACTGAACACAAGCCACACACACATCACAATGCTAAACATATGACATTGACATCATGGATATCTTCAGCAGTGTTAAAAATACAGCATGAAAGGCATTGTAATGCTATAGGAGCAAAAGAGCAAGTGAGTGAATATGGTTTTACACCACTTTTAGCAATATTCCAGCAATATCATGGCAGGGGACACCAGAAATGGGAATCGAACCCGGGTCTGCGGCGTGACGACCGAATGCTTTAACCACTAGACTACCTGACCGCCCCTTAATTAAGAGTAGTTGGGTTTAATAAAACAGCATTCAAGTTGTATCACGTGTCACCTTGATGTGGGAAGAAAGCCCAAAGTGATGCAGAGGTCTCTGATGTTTACAACTTTAGTGAAACCCACAAGCACTGGTATGGTTCTGACAAACCTTGAAACATAATCTTGGCAAACTTCGATTCAAACCCACGATAATAGGTTTCTGGCATACCCAAAGGGATGCATCTTTGCACAGCAAATTGCAGCACCTTAGACTACTGGGCCACCCATGCCCCCCTTAATTTAGAACACTGTTCCGTATATCAATACTAGTTGATACAAAAATGCTTCCAATTATTTCTTGTGAACTCAAATCTTATGATTTGGTTTAAATATAAACCTTCACTCTATTAATATATAAATGAAAAAGCTAATTATATACTTATAAAAATATTTGTTTCCCCCCAACATTCCCAAACAACACAGGAAGACTACTCTAAATTTCAATAAAATTCTTTTGTTTGTGCCTAAATGACAACAGACGAATGTTGAAATAGACAACACTGTGGCAAGGCTAGTTAATAAACATATGGGCCCATCAATTGCTGTCAGACAGTATCCTTATGAAACATGCAGCAATTTTTTATCATTTATGACCACTGATATTATTCCACTGCAAAGGGCAATTGTTTATTGTACCATGTCTGTCTCAAAGAAACAAACAGAAGTCCACATACAAATCTTGACAGTTCCCTATTATCATGATCATGTTAGTGTCTGATACAAATTACAAAATGAAACAATAATTGTTGTTGTTGGTTGACAATATTTTCCATGCTTACATCATGTACATTCTTCCCTCGTTTAATTATTAAATAGATCTACTTGTCAATTTTAGTTTTAATTCCTATATCAATCATGTATATCAATCTGTAAACTTGTCTTATCATATATAAGATAGGATCTATTTAGAAATAATTGGCAAATGAGGATGACGAGTGAGTTAATTGGGATTAATGTCTTTTTGGAAATATTTCTGCTATGGCACTTGACAGCAAGCCAACATGGTGAATCTAACCACATCAAGGATAAGAATAAGGGTGCATGAGCCGAGAGTCGCGACACGAAGTCCCTTAAGTCAAGACATAACTCTAAGGGTGCATCAAACCCCAGCAGATTCTGGCATGGTTAATATGGATAATGAAATCATCCATCTGTGGTAATATAATGTCGGTAATATAAAATCATCTAGGTCTAGGCCTATACTGCCATGAGCATGTTCATGATAACATATTTCCTCATATTCATATTGATATGTATGTTATCATTCTTCAAATAAGATGTCCTGCAATATTTCACAATGTTACAGTGGTTAAATGGTTAATGTATGTTGATACAACTGCAAGTGTTAATAAGATGTCCTGCAGTATTTCACAATGTTACAGTGGTTAAATGGTTAATGTATGTTGATACAACTGCAAGTGTTAACGTCACAGTGACACTGCATCGTAGTGATGCAATATAATAATCAATGATTGGCTCTTCAGAGGTAATCGGCAAAACATGGTAGATGTTAATGTGAGAAGGATATATCTGGGTTATGCTTAAATAATACAGGTATTTTTACAATGTACGTGAAATTAGCATACATGTGCAGACACAATGGTTACAGTCATATATGTACCGTCTAAGACAAAGATTGATTATTGTGACACTGGCAGCTCTTTGAAATATGCAACCAGTTGTCCTGGAAAGGATGAAATCGGCATGCATGTATCAATCATTTTTTTGTCCATGTTTGCAAAACAAGCTAGGCAGGCGATGATTACATACCAACACCGTTAGAGTGAAAGGAAATTGATGTTGTTGAAGATTCATCCATCGCGAAGTCGTAGAAGACTGAATGTTATTGTGTATTACGTCAATGAAAGCGTGGCTTGTCAATTTCCAGGTACTTCCGGTACTTCCTGGTATTACGGACTGAAAAATATGTGCATAAAGAATCTAAATTTGTGTCAAATATTTGTTTATTCATATTTCTTGGGCCCATTAATTTAACAGGAACGGAATGCAGGCATTCATACATTTTATAATCTTTTGACCTAATTAAACAGGTGCGTGCCTGCGATATGACGTCATGAAAGAATGCACGCGCGAACTTTTAATCTCTTTGGTGCTACGTGGGTTGAGAAATATGTGAAATCATGTCGCTTTATTGATTTCACAGGCTTCATACAGGTATGCTTATATATGAAATATATAACGTGCATCAGTTTGGTGTAATGAAATAACATACATGCATAAAACGTAAGCAAACGAACTGACTTTGATACCTTATTTGTTGACCTTTGGGAACTTGAAACATGCAACTTTATGCAACAAGCAATGTGGCCTATTTGATCAAAGTAGTATCTCATTAATCATGTTAATAGATGAGAAGTTTGTACAGATCACAAGTGTATCGTGTTTCTCTTGGGGTTGGGGTGGTGAACACTGCATACTAGCCTACTTTGTTATCAAATAATATTAGGTCCTATTAGGGCTGGGACGGGTTACTCAGGTACCCGGGTACTGAGTAGGACCCGGGTACCCACAGGACTACCCGGACCTGTGGTTAGTCACGTACTATATTGTTTAATGACAAAAAATATCAAGAACTCTATGGTTACACTACAAGTCACTAATGTTCGCATTTCCTTCTGACTATGCACCAATTTCTTCTGATTTTTCATATGGTTGAATAAAGATATAACTTAATTCGGCTTCAGTGTATGAATGACCAGATTGTTTAATACATGTATCTTAATACGTTTTGCCATGGCTATGCTAAAAATGTTCCCAATCGGACATGTTGAGACCTCTCCTGAGACCAACAGCGGGTACCCGGGTAGGGTCGGGTAATAGGGGGGTGGGTACCCAGGTAGTAAATTTGGACTCGTCCCAGCCCTAGGTCCTATACATGTAATACTAAATAGTGACTGTAGCTTAATGGGAATGAATGCTGTATTGTGTCTCATCGACTAAAACGTGTGGGAGGGGTGTTGGATGAAAGGACAGTGATTCCTGTTGTTTGTGTTTGAAGTTAAGAATGAAACTCAAGGGGTCCTTGTTTAGCAACAAAACAAATTCTCTGAGTCCTGTGATTGGATCTAACCACAGACCTGATTCGGCCTAGTTGGACACCTTGCCCATGTGATGGAAGAGGTTAAACCTGTCAGCCAGGATTTCAGCTGTTGCATGTCTCCATGCTCTGGTACACTTGCAATAACCAGGATACTTAACATTCAATATTTGGGTCCACACATGACAAATAACACTTTTCTTCTCACAAATATATCCCCAGAGCAAGACAAATATAATTATGTTAGAGCTGTTTGTATTTCAGATATGGATGAAAGGTTCATTTATATCCCCCCACAAAGTCCCACACCTTCCTCTCCTGACGATATTGATGAGGAACAATGTTTGTTTGATGACCTGCCCTTCCCAGCATATGGGAAGGAGGAGGAAGTTGAAGACACAGCCTCACAGATTGATGCAGCCACACAAGCTTCTATCAGCCACTGGCCTCCAGATATTAAGTCTGAGAAAACAGTAGCATCAGAGGTTATTGTAGATAAAGTATATTTCAACTCGGGAGAGAAGAAGGTATATATAAAAAAATCACTCTGTGATTGGTACCATTTGTATCATTCTCCTCCTGCAAATATTTATCTAGGATATCATACTAAGTACCAATGGCAGTCAAAAAGGAACAAATTGTAATAATATTCCTAACTGGCATTTATGAACTTGTTATATTCTTTATTTAAGATGTATTTTAACTTTAAAGCTTCTTCGTCTTCATAGGTCCTGTTATCAGTGAGCTACAAGACACAGAGACCAAGCCATTATATTTGTGATCACAACCACATTAATAGGCACACCCTTTGTCGTTGTCATTTTTTGCAATCAATAATCTGTGTCCCCTGGAACTCTGAAGCATTAATCTTCGATATGTACCATCTTGACATACTCACTGACTAAATTAGTTATTATTGAAACTGCACTAATCAGTGCATATTGCATTGTTTGTTTTTGCTAAAAGGTATCATGGCCGTCAACCAGAGAGTTTTACTACTTTTTGCCCCAAAATACTGATGAGGCATCTCCATGTAGCAGACGCAGAACAAACTCGTCTAAAAAGAACAGAACTCCTCGTACTGCTCTCAAAATGATGGAGAGACACAGAGAAAATGAAAGGTATGCAAATGCTGCTGGAATGTGATGTAAATTCTTTCATTAAGTGTTACATATATTTACTTATGACATGCTGTTAATCACATATTGAATAATTTGGAAATATATGATGGCATACTTTTAGATATATAAAATAATACTATCATTCCCTGAGCAGGGGATTTATAAAAGTGTTAGAAATTAACATGAAAACTTCATTATCAAATTGATGCTATCTTAAACTACCTAATGAAACTATCTCCATACTGATTAATACCGTGACACATTCACTGCCACAGCTTTCTTTGAAGTTAAATTTGTGTTACAAAATGCAAAAAAAAATGCCAATCAAATGATGCCTTTGTGAGAGAAACTATGTTCTGAAGCAAAAGTACTGAATTTGTCAAGGTTATTAATCAAAATAGCATGGAGACAACAGTCATACACTGGTTCATGTGGAGCACAGAGCATTCATAGACTCATTGTTATCTTCATTGTTATACATGAATAATGGTTCTATTGTCATAGAGTATCAGTCCTAAATGACAGAAAACAAGCTCTTCCTTCTTGCACACAGATACACTTGGAATGTACTAACTTGCTTAATAGTATAGGTAGGCTTCAATTATTTTATAGACCTCTTATTAAGTTTTGCTGTATTTGGATAATGTGTTCCCAAAACAGTGAGTTCTGAAAAAATGATAATGGTCAGCACCTTAAATTATGGTAGGTCATGTAATTGAAACCACATATCTTTTTATTAGGCCTCAACAATGCTGTTGACTTTATGCATTATGTAAAATGCTTCAGGACTCGGCATCATAACTTGAATGACAGTCTGAGTGAAATCTGCAAAGATGTTCCTGGATCCTCACAGGATGGGAGGGAAACAAAGGTGATCAGTCATTCTGCATGCCACGACATATGTAAATTGTTTGATAGGCATTACTTAGAAGTTGACGGATGACAAGATAGATGTAGTGTATTGGCCTAAGTATTTCTTCAGTAACTAGTACGTAATGATAACAAGATGCCTTTTTGGTTAATGCCTGTTTACTTGGGAACCCACGATGACAATGACAAGCAGATGTCGCCAGTGATGTCACTTCGACATGTGATGTCACATCCGAATTGTCAGTGCGCGAAGGTGCACATGCACCATGTAAACAACACAACACTACACTCCTCCCTGTTTAGAATATACAACACAACCTCGAACAAGTTTAAGCTACACTAGGAGGAGGAAATGCGAAAAAGTCAAAATGCGAGAATGCAAAAAAGTCACAATGCGGGAAAGTCACAAATCAAGTCTTTTAGGAGGTAGGCGAAGTCATTGTGAACGTCGCATCATCATGGATGGCGCTGGTGTGGTGTTGGGGAAAGACATCTCACTTGATGGTGCATTGTCGTTTGGAGTCATTGTTGTCTCAGTGGTGGATGGCGGTGTTGCAGGCTGCTGAGGCATGGTCTGTGATGTCTCAGGAAAAGTAGACTTTGTAGTCTGCAAAGTTGTTGGTAACAGCATTTCTCTTCTGTGAAGGATGTCTGCACTACCTGAATCATTGTTAGGAGCCACAATAATGTGATCAATATGCACATGACTGGGGTGATTGTCAATGTCAACAATGTAAGCAAGGGGACTTGTTTGGACCTCTAAATCTTCTGACGGCTACTCTTTGTCCAGGTTCAAACTGTCTCAAGGTAGGGTTTCCACCATCATGTGTTATCTTCTGGCCTATTTGTTTCTTTGTAACATGTTGTCTTAGATTTGGCTGAAGCAAGTCAAGTCTTGTTCTGATTTTTTCTCTTCATTAGCAGTTCTGTCGGAGTTCTTCCAGTGACTGTGTGAGGAGTAGTTCTGTACACAATCAACATATTTGCTAACTGTCTCTGGGGATCAGATTCTTCTGAAGTTTTGAGGTGCATCTTCAATACCTGAACAAATCTCTCCGCTGCACCCTTGGTTGCAGGGTGATACGGAGCACCGCGCAGGTGATTAATTCCATTCATCTTCATAAAAGTGGTGAATTCTTCTGAGGTGAATTGTGGGCCATTGTCAGATACTAACTGTTCTGGTGTGCCATGTGTAGCAAAGATATGTCGCAGAGTTTCAACTGTCTTGCTTGTGGTTGTTGAATTCATCAGGTACACTTCTGGCCATTTGGAATAGGCATCGATTAGAATGAAGTAATTTCGTCCTTTGTATTCGGCAAAATCATTGTGAACTCTTTCCCAGGGTTGTGATGGCAATGGCCATTCATGCAGTGGTGCGGGATTTGGTCATGTTTCTCACAGATGTACAAATTTCACAGGATTTAACAGCCTTCTCGATGTCTGAATCAAGTGACGGCCACCAAACATAACTTCTTGATACTCCTTTCATCCTGACAATGCCAATGTGTTGGAATGAAGTTCTTTGAGTACTCTCAGCTGAAGTGAGGATGGTATGATCACGCGGAGTCCCCATAGTACAACACCTTGTTCTATTGACAGTTCATTTCTTCTTGCAAAGAATGGCAGTAGGTCTGGATTGGTCACACTTGCAGGCCATCCCTCCAGTGTGAAAGCATAGACTCGCGATAGAGTTCGGTCCTTTCTGGTTGCGCTTTCAATGATTTTGGCTGTGACTGGTAGGGTATCAAGGTGGGAAAAGTTGAATACAACGTCTTCTTCATCTTGAATGTTTTCTTCTTGTAGTGGTAATCGAGAAAGCATATCCGCATTGAAATGTTGATCAGTGGTTCTTAATTCAATGTTGTATTGGTAAGCTGCTAGGATTAATGCCCATCTCTGCATACGAGCTGCTGCCATAGTTGGTACACCTTTCTTGGGTCCCAGAATTGAGAGAAGAGGCTTGTGATCTGTCCCTAAGGTAAATGAGTGGCCATAGAGACATTCGTGGAATTTCTTCACTCCATATATCAGGGAAAGTGCTTCCTTCTCAATCTGGGCATAATTTCTTTCGCTGTTTGACAGTGTTCTTGATGCAAATGCAAGTGGTTGTTCAGTTCCATCGTCCATAATGTGTGAGATAACTGCACCTAGTCCATAATTGGATGCATCGCATGCCAACTTGATTTTCTTCTTTGGGTCATGATGTGTCAACACTTCGGCTGAAGACAAGGCTTGTTTTGCTCGGTTAAAAGCTTTCTGACATTGTGGTGTCCAGATCCACTCAGTGTTTTCCTTTAGCAGATTGTTGAGTGTATAAATCATCGTCGATAGGTTGGAGATAAAATGTTCATAGTATTGCAGCATTCCGAGGAACGATCTGAGCTGGGTTCTGTTTGTTGGTTCTGGAGCTCGGGTTATAGCTTCAACCTTCTCTTGAACTGTATGAAATCCATTTCGATCGATCACATGACCCAAATACTCAATTTTGGGTTGTGCAAACTGGCATTTTCTTTTGCAAACCCTAATTCCAAAGTGTTCTAATCTCTCAAGGACTTGGTCAAGAAGTTGAACATGTTCTGTTGTCTTCCCTCCTACTTCTATGTCATCTTGAAAGGAGACAGTTCTAGGTATACCTTGCAGGATCTGTTCCATGATTTGTTGAAATATTGCTTGACAACTAGCGATGCCAAAGGGCAGTCGATTGTAACAGTAAAGTCCTTTGTGGGTGTTGATTACAAGCAACTTCTTGGTTACTTCACTTACCAGGACTTGGTGATACGCTTTTGTCAGATCAATTTTCGAGAAGATTTCACTGCCTGCTAGAGTTGCAAACAAATCCGCCGCTTTTGGGAGGGGGTACTTTTCCACTTCAACCCACTGGTTTAAGGTAACTTTATAGTCCCCACAGATTCTCACATCGTTTGATTTCTTAGGAACGACAACAATGGGTGTTGCCCAATCACTTGAGTTGACTTTTAAAATCACTCAATCTTTCTCCAACCTGTCTAGTTCTTTCTCCACTTTCTCTCTCAGGGCATATGGCACTTGTCTTGCTTTCATGAATATTGGCCTGGCATTGGGTTTCACTGTGATTTTAGCTTCCTTTCCTTTCACTGTTCCTAATCCATCAGCAAAAATGCTTGCATGGTTCTTTAACACTGTTGCAACGGTTCAAACTGTCTCAGGGTAGGGTTTCCACCATCATGTGTTATCTTCTGGCCTATTTGTTTCTTTGTAACATGTTGTCTTAGATTTGGCTGGAGCAAGTCAAGTCCTCAGTTCACAAGGTACCACACTTCCGAGAATCCATTCTGTCCGATAACTTGGTTTCTGTAAAATCTATGTCCCGCGTTATTCCACATATTCGTCCAAGAACATTTCCTTGTGACTGTCTTATTCTTCAAAGTTTTTATCTCGTCGCTTGTTTTCTGAATGTCCCGCGTTATTCCACTTATTCGTCCAAGAACATTTTCTTGTGACTGTATTATTCTTCAAAGTTTTTATCTCGTCACTTGTTTTCTGAATGTCCCGCGTTATTCCACTTATTCGTCCAAAAACATTTTCTTGTGACTGTATTATTCTTCAAAGTTTTTATCTCGTCGCTTGTTTTCTGAATGTCCCGCGTTATTCCACTTATTCGTCCAAGAACATTTTCTTGTGACTGTATTATTCTTCAAAGTTTTTATCTCATCGCCAGATTGTAGTGTATTGGCCTAAGTATTTCTTCAGTAACTAGTACATAATGATAACGAGATGCCTTTTTTGTTAATGCCTGTTTACTTCAGAAACCACGATGACAATGACAAGCAGACGTCGCCAGTGACGTCACTTCGATATGTGATGTCACATCCGAATTGTCAGTGCGCGAATGTGCACGTGCACCATGTGAACAACACAACACTACAATAGACACAATTTTATGGATAACAACTTCTTTAATGCTGTGAAAAGTGACGTTTCGGTATAGATCCTTATACCGTTGTCAAGCAAGACTGAATAGTACAGAATATATATAGTAGGTGGAGGATTAACAATAGAGGATTAACAGTAACAACAATTGCATACATGAGTGGGATAACATTGGTAGGTGTTGACAACAAAGGGATGATGCTGTCACAACAAGATGGACAGAGAACACATAGGGACATCAAGCCAATAAACAAGATAAGTGATTATTGTTTGATGAGTTCATAGTAGGCGGATGGGATGAAATAGCCTTGTTCTCTGTTGGTTGATGGCTTGTGGCAGCGATTGTGGACTGCTTCTGTTAGTTTCCTTTAAGTGAAATCGTGGAGGTTGTTGGCAAGGATTTGGACGTTGTCCCAGTTGATGATGTGATTGGGACAGTTGCTGATATGGTCCAAGATGGCTGATTTGCGGTCGGATGTAATGGTGGAGGTTTTATGCTCTTTCATTCTGGTGTTGATTGGGCAGGATGTTTCACCTACGTAAGATTGTCGACAGTTGCAGTCAATTTTGTAAACTACACCTTTAGGCTCTTGGGGTTTGGTTGTGTTCCTGCCGGATCTTGTCACTACATATGTACTCATAACAATGTGGGATCTGGGGTAAACTTGGCGACTAAATGGATTGGGACGTTAAGCAGGGTGACTGTTGACTGCGTGTCATCATACTCTGATGGTGTGGGATGTTAGCATTTACTGAAAATATCAATCGCTGGTTTGTCTAGTGGTCCTGATTTGATTATTTACAGCTGGGGTGTATTGCTGGTTGGGGTGTTGAAATACAAACCAAAAAGCAGAAAATGTGAAGATGTAAAGTGATTAATATGTTAATTGCTGTATATGTATTAAAAAAAAAAAATATGTTTACAATTTCTAAAGGAAGTGGTTTGTGGCATTATGACAATAATTAAATCATTGTTATTATCATGTGACCAATAATAGTCACACTGTGTATCTTTGCCTGAAATAAATCACATCACAATAACAATATAATTAATGTGTATTTCTTTTGAAAACATTTTTGATGAACTTCTCTTTCACAGTGTTTTATTACAGTAAAACACATTAATTCATATTTGATCATTGTGGTTTTGTTTACCTGTTATCATAAGTTTACGTCACATTTAGATTCATAAGTGAAATGAAACTTGCGCCATTTATCCCAGTATTACTAAGCTATTGACTAATAACAATGATAAAGTTAACTGAACGTTCATAATAGTGCTTTCTAAATCATCATGGATAATTGTGAATTATTCAGAATACAAGCTTTTCTTTTGATACAGGTGGTGATGATGCAGAGAATTATCAGCTATGTGGCCTACCTGGAGAACACCATTGTCAAACTATGTTCCGAACTGGGTGTCCCCTACTCAAATTCAATGACATCATTAACGTTACAACTTCGCACTGAAATGGGTCAGTCAATATATTACTTGAAATACTGACAAGCTATAACAACCATGATTTTTCCATCCTCCATGTCTCCAACAGCAGATAATTTGAGAACCTGAGAAGTTCAGGAATGGATCCAGGGAGAGCCCTGGAGATGTAGAGGTTGTAGAGAAGTTCCCACTACTTCATGATTATTGTACTTAGAGCCAACAAAAGTGGGTGATTTGGCTCTGTGACTTGGCTGTCATTTTACCCCATTGACGGTGGATTTGCAGGCTGCCGTGATATAGCTGGAATACATCTTCCTGAGGCAAGGGAGTTAACTGTCTATTAAAGTCCAGCTTCCACACTTGCTGGGCTGGAATTTCCAGGCTCAATCATAGCGCCACCAGTGGCTATTACAAGTTATGTCCCTCATTCGTCCCTCCTATTGACCAATCACATTCCATCCCTCATATCACTTGCATTTGCTTCAAATAAAATGGCAGCATCCAGTCAAGATGATCTGATCGATAATCAAGATCTTTATTTTAATAAAACGGGTCTTACCCCGCAAAGTGCATCAAATCACTTGAGCACTTTGACAAAAAACATGAAAAGATTTGGAAAATATCTGTCAACGCCAAGTTGACAGTACACATGCTTTGCAAATCCAGTAGTCGACCGTAATCTGCACGTTGGAATCGGATGTCTAGTTCGTTACACGATTTTGATTGGACTATGCATAGACTCATTAGTCCAGCCAAACTGCAACTCTGAAATACCAGCCTAGTTTTGCAAAGGTGGAAACTGGACTTTTATAGTCAGTTAACGCCTTTGCCTTGGGAACATGGCTGGAATATTGTTGAATTCAGGGTATAACGATAAGCAAGTGTGTGTCATAACCGATTTCAAAAGTTGAAGTAGATTTAGAATTTTCACGAAGTCACGAAGTGAACAGTAACACCTGAGATGTCGCCATGTTTTGGTGGAGTGAGCATCCCCCGACACACACCCTTTGGATCCGCCAGTGGTCTAGATATTGTATGATTAATTTTTTTTCAGATGACATTGATTCTAAGGGAATGTGATATTGTTGACCCTCTTAAAATACTTGTCTGTTTTGTTGTCACTAAGAAACAATCAGAAATAACAAACTTTAGAAAGTTACATGGTGAGCTGATACTGAAAATGTTGAAAAAGATTTTATTGAATTGGTTTAGTGATACTTTGGTGAACATTTTCTATTCTCTTTTCTATCGAAGGTGGCTGGCATGTTCCCGAGTATTGAACTACAAATGTTTTGAACTGATTTTCGTGATTCACTTGAGTTTGTTTTATCCAGGTTTTACTGTAGGTCACCAAAGTAGAAAAGTTGTAAAACAGGATTTTTGCTAAGGTATTTTAAACATCAGTTAATGGGGTGTTTTCACAAGTGACATTACCCGTGAAGATCCAGGGTAGAATAGGTCTTCAGCTACCCATGCTTGCCCTAAAAGGTGACTTTGCTTGTTGTAAGAGGCTACTAACGGGATCGGGTGGTCAGGCTCACTGACTTGATTGATGCATGTCATCGATCCCAATTGCATGGATCAATGCACATGATATTAATCACTTGATTGTCTGGTCCAGACTCAATTATTTACAGACCGCAGTCATATAGCTGGAATATTCCTGAGTGCGGCTTTAAACAACAAACCAACCAACCAATCACAAGTGACATACTGCAGTGTCTTTACCCCACAAATGGACTGTAGATTGTTTATTAAAGGTTGTATTATTGGTCTCAATATGATCATTCAGTTGTATGTAGTTGTATGATCATTAATCGTTTCAGAAAACAGATCTGTTTACACTGACAAAGGAAACAAAAGTAGGAATGAAAGAGACTACATGGTATGTTTTTCTTGAATTGCAATATAAGGTCTAATGATGTCCTGAAACATTGAGGTAACAAAATAATTTGCAGTCTGTGACGTTTGCCACTGGTCTAAAGCCTAAGTCTAATAAAATTCTGTTCAGTCTTGTAAGCTCATATGATAACACTAAACTTTACTGAAGATGATGCCAAAAGCCATGTTTTTGGTGGTAGAATAAAAAAGTTTTTGTCACAGAGTAAATTTGTGTTTTAGTACAATCTGTGCCCAAACCTTTTTCAATCCACGCGCCTGAACTTTGCTCTTAGCATCATTTTCACTCGATTTTACTGTAAACATGTAGCATTTATTATCTGATTTTTCTAAACCAGACAGAATGTTACTAAACTCAGTCCTCGGAGTTTTGGTTGAAGTTGCAGACTGAATGTATCATGAAAGGACATACGGTACTTAAAATCCATTTTCTCAATATGAGGAAAAGTGATGTAAAAATTGTTGAGCATTTGGTTCTTCAAGAGCCCAAATAATTTTACAAAATATTTTAACATTTTTGCACTCCCAGTAATCTTTTTATTATGACCTGTTACTGTTGTTTCATATCTATCTCTCTGTATCATATTTTGATTTGTCAATAGAAAAAGACACCCCTGAATGACAAGCGCAGTTTGAGTCGGCGGTTGAAGCTGTCGTCTCCTACAGTAGACTCCACCAGCGACCACCAAGTGCCACAACACGTTCCCAGGGCAACAGAGAGCAAAGACTGCTCCCAGGATTCCACAGTGCCAACCTCCTCCTTTCTGCCTTTCTTCAATGACAATGCCGTCGCACCCTGGTTTGTCAACACGGAGCAGGAGGAGGAAGTTGTCAACTCATGTGAGGACTGTAATATCTCACTCAAATACAGTTTATGCTGGATGTGACGTCAGATGAAGCAAAGTATTCGATACAACCAAAACAATATTTATCCTTGAGAAGTGGTTTAAAGTGTATTACGTATAGAATTTGGGACGTAATTAACATAGTCATTGGGCAGCTTTATTATTAATGCTGACTCAAATCCTGGCTCCTGTGTGGAATAAAAAAAAATATAATGTCAAGACAGCTCAAATAAAATTGCAGGTGAAAGCATTAACTAAACGTTTCATCCATAACCAATCTGATAAAATAAGATCTTTAACACAGATATGAACCCTCTCTGCGTCCATAGAAGGTCGCATAGAACTTTCTCATCAGACAAACAGTCTAGGTTTTTAAATTCTCTGTATGAGTGAAGCATCCAGAGCAGCATATCTGATTTCTGTATCTCCGAAATCAATATAATCAAAGGGATCTGAATGCAAAAATATACAGCTGTGGTATTATATTGTTGTGGATATTTTATATATCATGTCTCTGACCACCAAAGCATCTACATCCAAAAGGATATACTGTTGTGTTCGGCGGCGGCTTTCTTTTGCTGACAGCGACTTTTCCGAATAAGGCCAAAAAGAAAAAAGAGATGTAGCTGACATGTGATTTGTTCGAGAATCCATGTATCCTTCATTTTGAATATGTGCTGAAAACTTGCTTAGGATTCACGTGATCTAATATAGAGGGTTTGTCAGATCTTCACATTGAGAGGATCCTATCATAGTAAAAGATCTGATTTCAATGAGACAAGATTTATCCAAAACAATTGTGTTTATTGTTAACTTGATCCAGAAATGTTTCATTTGATTTAATACATATAGCATGTTCTGAGAAATGAACTACATTCTGTAAAAGTTTTTGGTAAAAAAAAATGTTCTGTTTTTAACTCTTACAAATTTGTTTTTAGGTGAATATGACCCCTTCTTCAGTCAAGAAGTTGAAGCAAATGATTGTCTGAGGTTTTCTTCATCTTTGATGGTAAGGCATAGTTTGTATTTTTTCTGAGATTTGTGTGACCTGTACATCCTGCTTAGGTATGATACAAATTAGGGAAAAGAGATACATATACTACTTCCACTAAAAATTAGTGAGCGATTTAGTATTGTTTTACACCACTTAAGCAATATTCCAGCAATATCAAGCCGGGGGACACCAGAAATGTGCTTCACACATTGTACCCATGTGGGGAATCGAACCCGGGTTTTTCGACGTAATAAGAGAACACTTTAACCACTAGGCTATCCCGCTGCCCCCACTAAAAATTAGAATGGATATGCCACATTAGATATACATAATGATACATAATTAAGGATGCTGCAGTGACCATGAAGAAACATTGTCTTCACATATATATTTATAGATAAAGATAGATATACTCTTCAAAAAACAACAATGCAATATTGATATTTTGAGTCATTTAAAGCAAAATTAGTGGACCAAGAGGTGCAAAATGAAGAGGTTTAATGTGTTATAGTGTAGGTGACAAATTTCCTGGATCAAAATGATCACAACAAGGACATGAAAACCATTAGTCGGGAAACACGTACAATTCAGAAAAACGCACCCAGTGCATTAACAAAAGGGCCATGGAGCTGCACACACTCCACACTATGAATGGTATTAAAGTGCAGGGTTTTTGATTGCCTGGCATCTGCGTCACTCGAACAGTGACAGTTCAACATGCCAAGATTGCAGGCAGGGGAATCCCGATCAGCTGTACCAGGGTTTCCAATGTAGCGCCCAGCACCATCACAAGGCTATGGGATCGGTTTCAACAGCATGGGTTAAGGTCGGGACGACCAAGAGTAACCACACCCGCCCAAGATCGCTACATACGACTGAGCCACCTACGTTTAAGAGCAGCAGATCTTAGAGCAAGACATCCTGTTCGACTCATCATATTGAGTCAACAACATCATCAACAAAATCTGCATTGGTGTCGACAACAAAGGGTATAGCCTCAACTGTGATGGAGAGATGTCTTGTTCAGTGACGAATCAAGATTTCTCCTCCGTCGAGGGGATGGAAGAGCACGGGTCAACAGACATCTGGGAGAACGTTATGCTGGAAAGTGCGCACTGGAAGTGGACAGGTTTGATTGGGGTAGCATTATGATGTGGGCGGCTATCTCTCATGGCAGGACAGGTTTGGTCCCTATCCAGGGCAATCTTACTGCTCAACAATACATCAACGAAATTTTCCTATCGCACATCCTCCCCTGGCCCTCCAGATCCCGGGATTTGAACGCGATAGAGCACCTGTGGGATGAATTGGATAGACGGCTACGCCGACATCAACCACAACCCCAGAAGCTGCAGCAGTTGGCTTTTGCGTTGAAGGGCGAGTCACAGTGAACTACCATTACCCAGGATGTAATTCGCATACTCGTCTCTTCCATTGGCAGGAGATGTCAGGTCGCTACCGATTCCAACTGGGGACATAAGCGTTATTGATGGTAGCTGACCTTCACCTTTGACTTTTCCTATGTACCGATAACTGATATGACTACAATCACCAGGTGTTCTCTCCACAACATTTGGCTCAATACCTTGTATAGTTCCTTGTATAAATGTATTTTCCTACCTCACACAAATCTAGCTTAGCGTTTCTTTTCTTTTTTTGAAGAGTATAGATAGAGTTTGAGTTAATGCGGTGGCAAGCACTCGCTCACTCACTCACTCACTCGCTCAATTGATTCTCCTGAAACTGTTACAGGAGCCGAGGTCGCCCCAGCTACCTGCACGCTACTTAAGCCACGTTGTCCCGACCTCCTTGAGTCTCCTGTCCAGCCCTGACCACAGGGAAGGCAACAAGGAGAACACAACAACCTTCAACCTCGGGGGCAACATCATGGCAAGTATATACGTGTGACAGGACCCCATGCTCACAGCAGGAGCTGGCAAAATGTGGGACACTATGTTAACCTGGTTAATTGTGTGTCATTGTATGGGTCACTACTCAGGCTGTCCGCTACGAGTTCTAGATTTGAATTTTCATATAGATTCTTGTTATAGAATTAGAATATTGCCTACTGTGACATAAACAGCTTTCACTCATTCAGCTTTCATAAGACAATATAATCAATGTTCATGAATCTTCTTCCCACGAAAGCAAATACTAGTACACTGGCAAAACCACCAATGTCAGAACATTTTAGTTTTCTTTTGACGCAAAAAGAGTGATATTTATAAATAATTTACCAATGGGAAGCATAAATATAGGCCCAGATCAGTTAAACAGGTAGAGTATTCTTTTTCTCAATTCAACTAAATTCATTTTTCTGCATCATTATCAGCATGTGTAATTTACCTGTTTAAATTTTGCTTTGAAAGTAATCGTCTTATTTTCAAGAATATTGGCCAAGTTGATTGGTGCAGAAGTGAGCGAGACACAAGCTTCGACCCTGACCTGCCACATTCTCAAGCTGTCTCCCCTGACAACGTTTTGCAGACCATCCAGATCCCCTCCTCCTCCTCGGCCTTCCTCTCTCCCCAGCAGTCTTCTCTTGCCTCCAAGTTGGACCCACTCACTCCAGGCAGTAGGAAGAACAAACGGAAGCAGTATACACCCAAACGATCTCCATTTAATAACTTAAATATTAACTCAGCTGATACAGGGAATCAGCATTATTTTGATGTTGAGGATGATGAACGTTTTCAAATGGAGCCTATTAATTGTGAAGTGGATGCTATTGGAAATGGTACGATGATTTTCATTTACCATAGGCCATAATCATAATGTATGCTTTAGTTATTATTGATGGATCATATCTGTATATAAAAACACTTGTTTTGTCAATGTTGATTAAGAATTACATGTGATCATACAAATGTAGAAAATATTTTGAGTTGATAATTTCTAAAAAAAATTGCATATACTTATTGGAGCAGGGCACTGACATTGACCTTTCACTACAGAGGACCCTGAAGACGTTTCCCTCCAGAGTCTCGGCCTGACTCGCAGCCAGAAGTCCCAGATTGCCCAGCTTCAGTCTCAGAGATACAGGCCTGCCTCGTCAACCTCATCAGAGGGGTAGGTAGACTGTGTTCAAAATGTCAGAATGTTGGGCCCCTTACAGCACTATTTGTGCTGTATCGATGACTGTCTCATGTTTTCACTTGGATGGTCAACCACCGTGTCCTGACTGACTGTCATCATTGTTTCCTGGTATGATTACTTCCTGATGATGGACCATCATTGATTCGTCTGGTGCAAGATATATTTACAGACAGCCTAGATCTAGCTGTTATATTATGACTACAGCATACATTAATCTGAGCAAGCAGTATTGTAATGTGTAATTAGCTTGTCCACTGAAGCCACTTAGGAGGATGGGGGCAGTGTTCTAAGCAGGGGTCCGGAAAATTTAAAATCCCAATCGGACATTTGCATTTAGGCCACGCCCCCTTCAAATAGCGTATTTTAGTACAACTTTTCACACACATTACAAGTTTACGTATTCATAATATGATGAATTATGAATTGTTTCAATTTAAATTTTTAATTCACAGGACAATTAATAACAAATAATATCATTTTAGATTTACATGGAAAACATACGTTTGTTTCTGTTATAATAACGATCTGTTAACGTAGTGAACGGTCTAATTAATATTCATGAGTTATATTCATGAGTCTGCTCAAGTGTACGCGTTGTAACATTTGGATCGAGACTATTATCCCATATTTGGTTATCACGTGACCTCACGGGAAAAGTTTTTTTTAAACTAAAGATTTTTTTAAAAACAAGACAGATAATTTAATCACAAATACTAAAATATCGTTGATAGCAATAGTTATTTGAATACTTTTTTCATCTATACTTAATTATTGACCATAAAAAAATTGGATATCGATCGTCCGAGAAAGCAAAATGGCGGTCAATCAAGATTCAATATACGACTAGCTACTGAAAAACAATAAAATCTGCAAATCCTCATTGTATGTCAACCAAGTGAAAGTCGTTAGCCATGACTTACAAAATGATCGTCCAGACTTTGAGGGTTTGGCAGATCCGCTCGACTGATCTGCATCGGTCGACTGGCTGTCGTCACGCTTTCGCTTCTTGTCTGAGGTTACGTATTGTAGCATTGTGAGGATAATGAGGTACATCGATGATGCAAGGTATTAATGTACAGTTGTAAACACCTTTCACTCAAATTAACAAGATGTTCTCAGTAATTAATCCTCGATTAATCAGTGTCAACTCAGTTTATTGCCTATTACAGTGATTGATTGATTGGACTATCGTGTAGGTACGATGTATTTACAGCAATCAAAACAAACAAAGCTTGTCAGTGTAGTTAATCTTCATTGTGTTGCAACTGCAGACAGAAACTGCTCAGTCCTAACTGTTGATCATGTCCGGTCAAAATTTAAGAATGTCCGGACAATACTTTTTAAAATGTCCGGTAAGCAATATTTTAAAACGGACATTTGAGATTCCCAATCGGACATGTCCGGCGCATATGACGGTTTCCGGACCCCTGGTTCTAAGATTCCTGAACCCGCTGCATCCCTCAGCTGCCAAGGTCTGCTGGTTGTGGGTTCGAGTCCCCGACATTTTTGTTGTCCCCCGCTGTGATATTGCTGGAATATTGCTAAAAGCGGCGTAAAACCATGCTCGCTCGCTCACTCACGAACGAACGAATTCACGAACGAATTTACAAACTCACGAACGAACGACCCAGATGTACAGTTGATATGCTCCTAATCCAAGGTCTGTCAGCACCATACCCCCTACTGGAGTCTTTTGGGGCTTTCGTCCCACATTGACCTGACACATTATGATATAACATCAGTGGTTTAAAAAACCTTTCATGTTAAGTTTCATAACCAGTACAGGTTAATGTTGAAGTGTTTGCTTTTATCTTGTTGATGGAGTGATGTTATTTCATCTTTACTCCCTTTGCACCCAATAGAATAGAGCATGCTTGAAAAGGTACCTTTTTCTGTGGCTGTTTATGTTTCATCTAAAATGTTTTCTTCTGCAGATCAAGGGATGTGACAAAGTCGGGTAAAACTGATCTGCGGAAAACTTCCTGGATGAATGGATTCATGATGTTCAGCAGATTGAACAGAAGAACATTCATTAAGTATGAAAACCATATTTCGGCCACATATGAAGGTTGAAAAAGCTTGAAAATAAGATATATTTAATATAATTGTATAATGAGAATGTTTTCAGATGCTGTACAATTTGATACCTTACCTGAAATGGCCAATTTTGAGAAGCTCTTAATGTTTCATTTATGATATATTTTCAAGCACAAAAAAACAATTATCAATTATGTTAACATTTGATATAGTTATATAGTAGATATTATCTGTAACAAAGTTCTGTATATCTTGACCATTACTTGAGGCTTGAAAACATGTATTTTTAATTTCCTTTAAGAAGGCATTAAATGTAATACCGGGTAACCTAATTTCATCTCATATGTTAGTTGTAAAGAAATCAGTATTTAAAAAAATAGGGTTTTAATTTTGTTTTTGTGACTTTTGCTTGTCAGAGTTCTCTGTGTTGTGGAATGTTTGTGATTGAACTGGTTTCATGTACAGTGCCAACCCTGGAGTTCACACATCCAACATCAGCAAGATAATGGGGCATGCTTGGAGGACCATGGCCCCCGAAGAACAGGCTCCATACAGGTAAGATAATCTCCTACACCACTGATTCCACTGAAACCTTGGATATCAAAGACGTGCATACATACAGGTAAGATAATCTCCTACACCACTGATTCCTTTGAAACCTTGGATATCAAAGACGTGCATACATAACTGTGTAATCATTACTAGCGTTTAGTCTAATATTTTGGTATGAGACATTTGGCACCAGAATTTGGTTCTTTCATCATGTTTTTAAAAGGGAAAAAGGTGCTTTCACCTGAACAATTATTTGAATGAGAGTAAGCTCATTAGTAAAATACAACTACCTCAGCTCATTTTTTATTAGTTGTTTATGTTTGTTTGTTAAATGCCTCACTCAGCAGTACCCCAGCTACATGACCAAGGTCGGTGAATATTCAAGCCTGGAACTTAAAAATCAGCATTTTACATCATGAGCATCAATCTATGCAATTGGGATATAATAACATGCATCAACCAAGTCAGGGAGCCTGACCACCTGATTCTGTTACTCGCCACTTATGACAAGCATGGGTTGCTGAAGACCAATTGTAACCAAGATCTTCACAGTGGAGTTGTTTATGTAATATAACTAGATATGTTTAGAAAACAAACAGTCTAATAGACTGAAGCAGCCATGGCTAAGTCAGCTGCATTTTAGGAGATCCTACAGTGATAGAAATTAACCTGAAATGTTTACCAGCAACTCTAGTGATAACATATAAGGGCATTGGGGTCACACTGGGACAACCTGAAAATCTACTATCGTTTGCATACTTTTAACATTAGATGAACAGACTCAGGCAAGCAGGTTTGTGCCTCATTCTATCACTGTCCGAAATACTACATGTAGCTCCTGAATATTCCTGATAAAACATTGTTGATGTTGACTGGTAGCCAGTGTTTATTGTGATACTGTTTCAGGGAAAAGGCTAGACTGTGTGCCAAGGAGCTGCAGAAACAGCAGATGCTGCCAGCTGACTTCACCACACCTGCCAACTTCACTGCCACGCCCACCAACTTCACCCCCACCGAGACCATCTCAAGCACGCAGGACAAGTGTGGCTTCTTCAACTCGGACAATTCCTCTGGGTCCTATGTCTCTCTGCATTTGGACGATTCCTAGATCATAGTGGAAAAGTGTCATTCTGGAACTTTAAAACAGAGGACAATTGTAAAAAAAAACCAATGTTATCTTCTAGTAACAAAAATGTGATGAACATGGAACAGTGAGACAAGATATGAGTGAAATGTGATTTCAATGAACATTTTTATGCTGGATGAGGGTGGATTTCCCCAGTTCCTGACATTCATAACAAAACAACATTCCAACAACTTCTGACCATAAAATCAGCATTTTAAAAATTACACTTTTAATTCTTAGGTCCACAATGTATGTTGACATTTATCTGCATGACCTTCAGTTAACGCCAAGCTGCATCATGACATATTTGCCTTGACACAAGATAAAATTAGTATGACTGGAAAATGTATCATGTAATATTACAATATTAATCAAGATATCATTTTCAGGATGAATACAAGTGTGTCAAAGTTGTGCAAATATCTTTCCTTAATAGTTTAAAACTTTCCCTGTTTATGTGTACTTAAATGATATGATCGTCATGTATTTGTTCACATGATACATGCTCAGTAAACAGCATTCCATTTCAGTTTAAATGAACAAAAATACATGTATACATACATACACATGTGTGCGAGCGCACACGCACACGCACACGCACACACACACACACACACACACACCAAAAAGATCCGTCAGTTCGTTATAAGCGTGTCTGTTATAAACGTAGTTTACTGTAATATCATAAGATCAGTCGTCTTAGTTTCATTATGTTGTGTACACACCCAGTATTTAATTTATTTGTATTTTCTCTGTATTCATGTGTTTAAATCCCATTAGTTTCATACAATAATGTACATCAGTAGGTTATGTACGCCGGGATATAACTGGAATACTGTTAAAAACGGCGTTAAACCCAACTCACTCACTCACCAGTAGGTTATGTATGCAGTTCATACTCAACAGATTAACATATAGTTGCATTTGGTACAATATGATTGTTACAAGCCAATTTATACATAATACCTCATAAAGATGATACAAGTACAGATATGTTTAATTGTCAATTATTAAAATTGTTATGTGTAGTAGTAAGTCAGTTATCATCTTCTAACTAATCATGCCAATGTACTGTGAAGTCTGTGAGGCAATTTGTCAATGTTTATACGTTATATGGTTTTGACTCCTAATATACTATCAAATGAATATTTGTCACAATATCTGTGAACAAAATGATTACTCACTCAATTGAATTGAAAAATATATGCATTGATATGCATCCATGATTTTTAGCAATAAACAATTATGAAGTTTTATCATAGCTCAATGAAATATAAGGTATAATACACTGTACTGTTTCTGCACATTCTATGTTGGATCCATCTTCAAGGGAGTTAACTGACTGTAAAAGTCCAGTTTCCACCCTTGCCGAACTTGGCTGGAAAAATGGAGTTTTATTTTGGCTGGACTAAGGAAACCATGCTTAGTCCAATCAAATCACGTAACAAAATCTACATCCAGTTCGTAAACTGACGTGAGGATTTTGGTCCATTGCAGTATTTGCAAAGCATGTGTACCGACAACTTAGTGTCAACAGATAGTTTCCAAATCTTTTCATGTTCTTAATGATGGTGCTCACATGATTTGATGCACTTCTCGAAGTAAGACCCTTTTTTTTTTACAATATAGATCTTGATTATCGATCAGATCGTCTTGATTGGCGCCATTTTAATTTCAAGCAAATGCAAGTGATGTGAGAGGTGGAATCTGATTGGTCAATAGGAGGGAGATAGAAGGGACATAACTTGTAATAGCCACTGGTGGTGCTACGATCAAGCCCAGAATTTCCAGCCCTGTTCGGCAAGGGTTAAAACTGGAGTTTTACAGTCAGTTAACTCCATTGCCTCGGGAAGATGTACTGAGAGAACATGACTATCACAAAGTCATTCTTAAAAATAACTTATTGCACAGTCCCATATCATCTTATTGGGAAAATATTATTCTGACACACTCATTGTCTATTTGTTCATTTTATCACAATTAAATATATAAGTCACAAAATTTAATAGGCAAGTAGTTGGTTCTTAAGGTGTTAACATCGTCCAAGGGAAGATGTTGAAAATTCTCAAATAGATATTTGCTATTTCATCAAGAGAAAAATTGGTATTCATTTCATGTTTCAATTATTTTATATATTTGTACATGTTATTTTTAGTATCAACCCCTCTCATTAGCAAAAATACTATCAAACAGAAATCATTATTTAAAAAAGAACAATTCAGACTTCTGTTTTCAATCATGTGTCGAGTTTAGAACTGGGGAAAACTTTTTCAATCATAACTCTTCACTTTGAACAAACATCCAACAGACTTGTTTACCATCACATTGCTGTGCAATACTGACATTGCTTGAAGACGTTTTGATGATAATTATTTCAGGTCATCAAATGACTTGCATTTTTATTAAGTCTTTGAAAGACATTTAGAAGGGATACACATTAGGAAGAGAATTCGTGGATGTCAACTTCTTTATTATGAGGAACACAGCGTTTCGGAGTAAGCATATACTCCGAAACATTGTTTTCCTCATAATAAAGAAGTTGACATCCATAAATTCTCTTCCTTATGCATTTATATTCATAAGTTTATACTATACTAGAAAAAGAAAATCAATGGAGACTATGAGCCTTTTATGAAGCAAGATTTTCACCTCGTATTGTGGCATTATTTCAGTGGATCTTGCAACTTTATCTACTTGTCCGAAATCTAGTCTAAATTAGGCAACTTCCATGTTTTAACACAAGCCTATAATAGTCAGAGTCGTAGCACTAAGATCACTTAGTGGACCAAGGTCCCTTGAAAGCTAGTACATCTGTGTGTTAACACAGAAGTATGCCAAAGAATGACAAAGAGTGATATTTTCATAAGTGAGCAACACCCCTCCTCTTGTAAAGTGGAAAATGTAAAATGACATCAATCCATCACAGATATTAATTAATCCAAGGATAAGTTGTGTCAAGTGATTCTTCATGGTTTAACCATACAATATACACAAGAATAATATAAAATCAGTGGTTCTCAAAAGTATCATGTACTTTAAACTTTTTTATTTCAAAACTTTAAAACATGTGTTTTGACTTATATTAATGTTCCAGTTACCCATCTTGGAAGAAATTTGCCAACCAACTGCTATGAAAAAACATCATTTCTTTACTACTTTGAAGTATATACCTGTTATACAGCTATTTAGCATATATTCTCTTTTCTTTTAAATTACAAATTGTACACTTAACTGTGTGTGATCTTTTTATTTGCTCTCAAGTAGACTTAATGCTTGAACTTTATGGACTCTCATTATGTTGTGAACTGAACTGAGCTAATATCAGTTCATTAATGCTTGTTAACCTACTTTCACCAATGTATAGTTTATTTAATTGTTGTTTTGCAGTATTTTCCAGTTTGTCATCTGTTGCAAATCTGTGGTAATAAATCTTTATTTACAGATGAAGTTTGTTTGTTGTTTAAACCCACATTCAGCGATATTACTGCTGTATGTTGGCAGCATGTAAATAATCAAGTCTTGACCAGACAATGCAGTGATAGTGTGAACAACGATCCACATCGTCGGGTACGAGGACATGCTATCAACCAAGTCGCCATGGCTGACCACACGGTCGCCTCTTATATAGTTCTAACCCAGAACCCCACAAGTACAGATGACATAGTTCAGTGTTTAAGTTTAGTAGAAGACAACACTGAATCAAACCATTGATATCCTTGTCATGTAGCTGGGATGGTTAGCCTTGAATACCACAAGTCACTGTGCAGAGCAGTATCTGTATCAATTGACAAATAAGAGGAGCTATAAAGGGCATCCCTGTGGTCCAAGGTACAAATTTTCCTGACTTTGTATCCAAGATTCACCATGATTGCTTGTGAATTTTTCCAAAGTTGTAAACCTTTACTGACTGTTAACTTTCCACCCACATTAAGCTGACACGCCCCGATAGAACTAAAAAAAAAGCCAACTCACTCACACCTAAGATACAATGGGAACTTTTCAAATGACTGTTGGACATTGAAATTGGAAGCTATGCTTGTATAAAAAGCAGAATTAAATCGGTATCAAAGCCACCATAGCACTGCAATATCTCCCATACTCCCACATCTATGACAACTGTTGCCCATGCCAACATAGGTGAAGGGGCACAGGTGCTTAATGTGTGACTTGTAGGTTCACAAGAGAATTTCTGTGCTAGGGTAGTGAAAGTGATGGAGACTGACGTCACTTCTGAACAAGCAGCTGTGGTGAATTGGTCCAGGGCATACATATAATATACTACTCCAAGTTTGCTAAGGTTCACTTCATTAAAAGTTAATGTGTCAAATTGTGTGCATCTGTTGAAATAGCCAAAGACTATTTGCTTGAAGACTTGTTGAATGAACAAAAGTCTGTTGTCATGTGAAATACAATGCCAACAAACAACCACTTATCAGTCAGATCGCCGTCAAAATGAGAATATCTGACCTAAACTAAAAAAATCACAAAAACAAATTCATTGTCACAAACGTATCTGTTGTCTGATACTCCCAATAAGTGATTGTACCACTCTTCAGTAAGAGTATTGCCGAGTTCCAGTAGAATTGCCGGAAGGCCAGGCAGTCATGAGAGGGCGATCTGCAGCTTGTTCCAGAGCTCATTCTACATGTGTTTGATTGGGTTGAGGTCTGATGTCCGAGCTGGGTACTCGTTGCAGACAATGGTCTTCTGCTCTAAGCAGGCATCAACGACCCTGGAACGATGAGGTCGTGGGTTATCGTCCATGAAATCCGGTCCTATTGCACCAGCATACTGTCTCACGTACATCTGTCATCCTACCCGCTGTAGGACACGGAGATCGTTTCTTCCAGCTCAACTGATCCTACCCCAAATCATGATTGATCCCCCTCCATATTGGTCAGAATCCTGAAAGCCCAGTCCTGGTCTGTCCGATTGACGTGATCTTCAGCCCAATCCAAAAGCGCCTGCCTGTGATGTGGAGTCTGGAGGACCGGAGACCATCCTCGCGGAGATGATTACGCACTGTTTGAGTAGAAACGTTAACGCCACTGTCATTCCGCAAGTCATTTCTGAGTTTGGTGGCAGTCATGAAGTGATGACGCATTGCTTGCAAGCAGGAGAAACCTGTCTTCCTTCTTTGTGGTGGAGCGATGCATGTTGCTCGGTAGCTGATCCAAACGTCTGGTATCAATTCCATGCCCTGCTGATCACTTTGGGTGACACCAAAGACGTTTGCAAGGTGACGTTGTGTAGACCCACTTTCAAGCATGCCTTTGATGCTGAGGGGTCATAAGTGCATTCAGTTGTTGCAATCCTCAGTAGCAACTGTTGTGCTCTCTGATAATGATGTGCTGTCACGAAACACCCAAACACAGGTTTTCAAGCATCTCATGTACATCGCACCCGTGACTACATGCCTCTGTCCGTTTATCCTTTGGGTGTTGCCCAATTATTGTGTACCGGGATATTTTAATCTTTGTTTGTTGGAATTTATTTTATATCATCAAAACCTAGCAAACTTTGAGTAGTATATATTGGAGATATGACACACTGAATAATGGTGGATGATTTTACATGCATTACAGAAAATGTGGCTATCCAATGATTCCTTTTATTTCACATGTTTGAAATATTTACAATCAAATAAGAAGCATTCATTATAAACAACCATAGTTAATAAAGCCTTGTTCACACCTTACGTGTGGTGATAACACATACTATGATCCAAGCTCTTGGACATCTTAATCAAGCAGTAACGTTCATGCCTTTTCCTTTGTCTCCTTGGCCTATCATTGTGGACAATTCTTACAGTCTCTTCTTCAACAAGAAGAAACACTGGTTGTTCATGCATCTAGCGCCATATTTGTTTTGATATCTTACTCTTTATTGGAGGGAGAACTACTTTTGAACCTCTGAATCCGTCTTTCCTCTCAGCTTCTGGACAGGACTCTAACCAGTCATGCCCACATCCGGCAACTACCGGAAGTGTGCCAGTTGCACGCTTCTTAACCTTTCTGCAGACGTTAGGTTTCCTTGTCAGTTCCAAAGAAGGGGCTGTGGTGGATACTTTCACCCTGTTCAAGGTGGGTGCATTCCTCTCCTTCTTGATCTCTTTACTAAGGCTGACTGAAGCAGAGAGCACACTCATTCTAAAGACAGCCCTCTCTTTACGAAGAAGTGTCTGAAGTTCCTTGAGCTCTTCCTCTTTCTTCTTCTGGAGCTCCTTCATAGTTTGTTTCTGTTCTTCCCATTTTTTCGCAAGACGATGACGACACTCGCTCAGATATCGTCTGCTGTTCCCGTCTTCCTGTTCCCTGGAAAGAGGGTGGCAATTTCGAACAGATGGAAGATGGCGGCTACTGTCATCCTCTCCAGGCTGTCCCATCTGTTCCTTAGGCTTCCGTTTTCTCTTTGGTTCATGAGGGTCGGCCATTTCCATGTTCCGCCTGGTTCTACACCGTTGACGATCGTCTGGTGGCAGTCTCCCCAACAATCTATATGGAAACAACATAAATATACAAATATGGGGGCTATGCTCTATGGCAAGGGGCCCATTACCATGATAGTCCAGATCTAGACATTAGTTAGTTTATGCAGTAAACTACGGTTATAACGAACTCAAAGGGACTACTAATTTTAGTTCGTTATAATCGTAGTTCGTTATAAGCATATATACAGCATAACTACAGCATATAGTCGGGACTAAAAAGTTAGTTCGTTATATCCGTTAGTTCGTTATAAGCGTGTTCGTTATAACCGTAGTTTACTGTATTGTTAATAGCGCCACGGCTCTACATTAGGTGTTATCAGTGGGGGTAATTATTAACTGACAGATATGGATTTAGATTTTATACTTTTATAATAGGGCTTAGCAGACAAACATAAATGTTTGTTAAGGTCTTGATTCAAACATGCTAAAACTGCCAATTGACCCGAAAATATTCGTAATATGTACTGAAACATGTACGCTTCGGTGGCATGATTGAAAAAGGGTTTATTCTTGGTTGTTGAATTATAACTAAAGAAGATTATACTGAACATACCTGTCCTGAATGTTACTCATGTCAGAATTGAATTCCTCGTACTGACCTGTGGAAATGAAGGACTTTGCAAACAAAACTCACGCATACACAGGACAACTGATACTAAAAGACTCATTGAGTGAAGTGAATGTGGTTTTAGCAGGCATCCATCAATATACTAGTATATTATATCGGTATACTGCGTATACATCACGTGAAAACATGTCCTAACACGTCACTCACGATACGGCTGAAATATTGCCGATATGACGTTAAATTATAACTCACTCACTCAGAATACCTCATCCATTCAAACATAAACATACTACATTATAACTAGCGCGGTCAAGAGACATTTATTATATTTACGACTTATCAATATAATTTGCTTTAAAAGATGTGTGGGTACAACTATCATAAGTTATGATCAAGCACAGTTAATGAATGATTTCATGTCAAGGCCGTATATTTTTTCAGTTTGTTTGAGAGGCCGATCGACAAAAGAAAACTGAAATTAGAATAAAGTGACTTTTGACAAAACATTGTTGTTACAATTTGGTGATGTAAAAAAATATACGCGATTTTATCACCGCTGTTCCTAAGAAATGGTGAATAATACGTACACAATCAATTAAATAAGGATTGTAGTCAGATGTTGTTGTCATGTTCTTATTAAAATATGGTACGTACATGGTGTCTGACGTGTATGACGTGGGCCTCGTTGGAATGTCGGACCTGGTCTAACCTCCAGATTCGGGTGAATAGATTTGCGACTCTTCTGTAACCTCCGAGACATGGTAGAGCTGTACGAAAATAATCACTCTTCGTTTAAACTATAAATGATCTCAAGAAAACAACTTCTTTTTATTTATTATTTTTGAAAAAAAGAGTCTTTGTGTAGGCAAAGTTAATGTTTTATCATAATTTTGACCGAAAGTGTATCTCCTTAAAGTAATAAAAGGGATAAAGGGTCGATACATACCTTTAGAAAGAAGTATTCTACCAAATAAACAAATCGCGGAAGACGATTCAGCAATAAACAGCTGTACACATCAAAGCCACACGATGGACTGAATAACTACGGCCAGTCGTCATATGTTTCTGTGACGTCATAATTCTGTTCTTTAACATGACGTCATGCTATTGTTTCTGTTGGTTTCAGTGTGAGGAAACCGTGTTTTCAGTGACGTTTTTGGTGTCTTTTCAAAGATCAAAATGTATTTCGAATTTTGAATTTTGTGAATATAGTTCATGTATATACCGCTATGATATAGCAAGGTGTTCGTAAACTATTTCGTTTCTAAGTTGAAAATACTAAATAAACACGAACAAAGAACATTTTCCATAACCATCAGAAAACTCTTAAGACCATTGTACGATTCCGACTAAATTTATATCGTTATCATGTGTTCATGAATCACTGTCAAATAGCTCGCTCCACCGGTGGCACCTTCACAAACACATGCAAAGGCAAGTCAATTGGTCACCTGAAAAACAACAATATAATTATGGCACAAGTCGAAATTGCGAATCGCCTCGGACATAATTTCTTTTTTCACTGATGTGTCAGATTTGGAATTGTCCTCCACATGTCTACCATAATACGTTTTGAAAGAATTACTGAGGCCAATAATGCTGTATTTGTGTAACCCTGATCAAACAACTCTTGAGCACGAGTCATGTGACGCTCTCCGAAATCTTCGGGGAAAAAGCATGGGTTCACGAATCAATACAATTTCGGGACTGTAGAATATTTCGATTGGATTACTTATTTGGCATTGTTAATTTATTAACAATCCGGGCGAAATGGAAGACTGTGACTATCTGATATATTATCATCGAGCCATGCATTGGTACGTGCGTGCCGTTTTAAAGGATATCCGCCCATCAGTTTGCCGTTTGGAAAGAATATGTGTGCATGATTCTAGCATTCGTGTGGAGTTTAATGTTTACTATTGATATTGCTCGAACTTTGACGGTGGTATCAGTGACCTCAATACCACTAGACCAACTCTTTTCTGTTATAAAAATATAAATCAAATCGAAGTTCCACAAATTCTCAACAGTGAGTGAGTCAAAATATAACGTCGCATCAGCGTTACTTCAGCCACAGAGCGACGAGAACAAGTATTAATAGGTAGTAGCATGTCATACAAATAAATCAAAGTTCTATTTAAAAGTAAAATTGTCAAACATATTTTAGCATAAAAATACTAACATTTACCACGGGCTATAAGCCACCAGCAACCAAGGCTATAGGTCTCCTCACCGGGGATCATAGAAGTCTTGAAGTCTTGACTTATATTTCGTGGTATCATTTTAGATCAGAGACCATTTACCGATATGGCTCTAGACAGACTACCTTGAGTCAACATAGCTTTTGAAACAGTTGAACGGGTGGAGGCCGATGACTGACATATTGATATATCGGTATTTGGTCTCTGCAGTCTCTATTATATGGTCTCTGGTCTCTGTTACTAAACTAATTCGGTCAAAACACCATTGTGGTCATGGAATAAGTAAGGGAGGCAACTGCTGCAGCGGCTGATAGCATTTTGAAGGAATCGGCGGGAGAGTTGGGTGTGTCAGAAGACATCTGACATGTCAATGCGTGTGCCTCGAAGTCAAAGACTGAGGCATTAATGTCCCCTGGGGTGTAAACTGTTTCAGGTAAGTTTTGTCGATAGTCTGTCCGCAGATGTTTTTACTTAAGATGTAATTTGTAGGTTCCATGTTTGCAATCGATTTTACATCATTCATCGGCCTTCACCTGTTCAACTGTTTCAAAAGATATATGTTGACTCAAGGTAGGCTAGCTAGAGCCACGATCCATGTCTACAACGTAGATGAATAAAACAATATTACAACAATAATGTACGGCTTCCCAAATTTCATGTCAAGCTAATGAATAAACTAAAAAAAATTATTGAAAAATATTTGATCAGATGTTCGAAATGGAGCACTGGAACCAAAAGTCAGTAACATTCTAGGTCTACACGTAGATCGTTCGAACTCCTATAGATAGGCATATGTCAGCGATTCTGAGTTTTCTTGCAAAACTTGCAAATGACTGATTTCTGACTTTGAAATTAAAAACAAAGTAATAAAATGTAAATGAATGAAATTGGAGTCCCCAAACCTGTCACCCAAAATATGGCTTTCCAGTAAGTTGTAACCCAATCTACCCATAATTTTAATGAATTGCAACCAGAAATTGTTATCACTTCTTGCAAGTGCTTGATGAAACCTAATCTTATTTCATTTCAGATACCTGCAGGAAAATGTCGACCTCAGGAACAGACACAAATATTTTTGTAGAATGTGCTAGCAGCAGTACAGATGAATCAAGAACACATCCTGAGAAACATTCCAGTGTCTCAGGTCCCAAGATCTGTGATAGAAGTCAGTCTTGGAATGCTCTTGACCTGAACAACAACACTGATGACAATGATGGTGATGATGAGGACGATGATACAGAACAGGAAAGGACCTCTCCCTCACCATGTTCATTTATGCAAGCATTTGTTGGACACAGATCTGAGTATGACAGACAATATTTTGAGGAGTCATCATATGATGAGGAAACAACTGCTGACTTTGAAGATTCTTCATCGGATTTGGATGTATCACTGTACCATACAGATTACTCAGCAGATGACCCAGATAACTGGAGTGACTCATTTGATGAGGAAGACGTAGAAAAACGCAAAGGATCTAATTATGTATGGTCGGAGTCTGAGGATGAATACAGTGAGGACCACCTGACTGGCTCGAGTTCTGATCTGGATAACTGTCTGCTTGTTAGCAATGATGGTCACTGGGATGATGAGGACCAACTGTATGATTCATCTGATGGGTCCCCTTTATCTGATGTGAGCTATCACTCAGACTGTGGCTTAGAGTTCAATAGAACAAATGCTGACTTTAGAGTTGATATACATGATGCAGATAAAATTGATACAGTTGATACTGAAAAGTGTTTGATACCCATGACCAAACCATACCCTCCCAATGCTACAGCTCAGCCTGGTGCCTCTGGAAATATACAGTCTGCTGTGAAAAAGAACAAACACATTAGCGACCGATCATGGAATATTCTGGATAGACTGATAGTTGCACGAGATGGTGCTGGTATACTGAGATGGTTTGAGTTAAGGGAAGTGTCACAAAGGATGAAGGAGAGGGCTTATCCTATCCTGCCAGTGAATCGTGCTGCTGTGATTGGTAGTGTGGTCATATTTGACTTTCTGATTGGGGAAGGGTTTGTCATTGACAAGAAATATAACACAGTCCATGAGTGTGGTCTACGAGGGCAGTTCAACTTTTTAAATCACATGAGCAAAATTGGGATTGATATCAATCAAAGTAACAAGAAGGGATCTACTACGCTTCATGAGGTAGCCAGACAGTCCAATGGTCGTGCAGATATGCTGAAATTCCTAATTTCCAGAGGTGCGAATGTGAATCAGAAGGACCTCATCGGTCGCAGTGCACTGTACATGGCAGTCAAACATGGTTCGTCTATGAATGTTCTCACGCTTCTGGAGGCAGGAGCTGTCTTGAATCGCTCCTTCAGATATGAGAATGCTAACTATGTGTCTGATATCAAGTCAACTCTTGGAATGGCTATTTGCCGCAGCTTGAAGATGACGGTTTTGATTTACACAGCAAAGATTATGGCTGGTGACTACAAGCACTGCAAGGAATTGGTTACAGCCGTGAAGGGTAACAGTGTCAACATTGTCCGATTCCTGCTGAGGAAGAATGCTCAATGCTGCTCCAAACAGCGAAAGTCACTTCTTAGATATGCAGCCAAGAACCACAACAGGTCTGTGCGAGCATCTATGGTGGACCTCTTGTTCAGAGCTGGCTACAATGTCAACAGTGAAGAAAAGTGCATCAGGGCTCACGCCTTCCACGGAAAAGATGGAAAGGCTTTGAAGAAAAAGCTGCCCTTGTACACTTCACAAACAAGGACACTACAGGACCTATCTTGCTTCAAGATCAGACAGATCCTTGGAGCATCAATGCCAGCTACAGTTCACAAACTACCTCTGCCAGAATGTCTGAAGAGTGTTTTACAGCTGAAGCATTTGTGAATAAATCTTGGAATCCAATGGTCAAGAAATCTAAAATCTGCAGTCTTAGTTCGAATGAAATGATACAAGACATGTACTTCAAAGATGAAAGTTGATTGAATCATACACACAAGACTTTTGCTCAAGTTATGATTAATATTCTACATTATCTTAGTTATATTATAGTTGTTAATGTTATCACTTTGTTGGCAGTTATTAATGCCAGAATTTAAGAACCATTTGCAAATTACTATTCAACCCTGACTAGATTTACTCTGACTGAACTAACCTTTAAATTTTATTGTCACCATTCCATTGTGTGATGTTTTGTGCGTTTGCTCCAGAGTGATTAGATAGAGATAGACAAGCGGGACAAGCAAATGATAAACCCTGACTATTCATGACATATCCCCATTTCTCATTGCCTACTACAGTTAGATGGTAATCATGGCATGTTTTCCAAAATTACCAAATGACACAAAAGATGACATGCCACATGAAGGGTTACTCGCATATCATTTTATAATATCAAATTGTCACCCGAGTTTGTTCCAGAGGTCTGAATCTGGCTGCCATATTGAAAAAGAGAAAGAAATTTGTGACCATTAGTGAGTCATAAATGTTCAAAATGAAATTATATTTGGTATTTGTTTAGTGGTAAGATTCAACATATGTGTTCCATTTCTTTGCCAAATGTGGTCCTTGGTTTGACTCTGCTCTTATATTCTCTCAAAATGCATACCATATTCGACGTAATAAGCGCCCAGGGTGCTCTCAAAATTAGAAAATTAGGCTGACAGCCTGAAATGTTTATATACGATAGATATATTTTTCCAGAATTTAATTGCCCATAAATAAGGGTGCATATAACACACGAGTGCGTATTATATGCGAATAAATAAGTATTGTGTACATTGATCAATCGGAAAGGGTGCTAATTGGGATTGTTCACGGGCCAATATATTAGCAATTATCGCCGTGGGCGCTTATTAGAGTGGGGCGCTTATTACGTCGAATACGGTATTTGGCTCTGTAAACTTCTTTGAAATTGCCAGACTGTTGGGAACTTAACAGTTCCTCCTTATGGTGACACAATATTCTGTTCAGCTCATTAGATTATATTCTAGATATATGGATATCTATGCAGCCTTTAGTTAAGTTTCAGTCTTTGTTGACATTTTGATGTTGACTACAGTGCCGTGGCACTTATTTTAAAGACATTTTACGAACGATCATTAAGTAATAAGCAACAGGCATTTTTAATTACATCCTGAAAGTTTTGGTAATTTATTTGGCATTGATGTCTTGCTTCATTTTTTATCAACAATATTCTAATTTTTAATCCAAATTGTTTGTTTTGGGTCCTGTGTCGAGAGATTATGGTTCAGAATTCTGTGAAACAAGATCTGAACTTTTCTGGCCTTGTGGAGTTGTATAAATTTCTATTGTTACAGAAAAACTGTTATTGTTAATCAGTGATTGTGCTTTCAAATTGCCAGTACCTTGTTGTAAGCATGTTTAATGTTTATTGTTAAACTATTGACAGGAGTAAAGAAAATCATGTTATAATCTTGTGCCTTGTTGATTGTCATCATGTTAGCAGTGAATACGGCTGAGTGACCGGTTGGGTTTCATGTTGCTTAGAACTACAGTTCAGCTGTATAACGGCATGTCCACTAAATGTAGGAGGCAAGCCTAAAGTGACTATGGTCATGGCTCATAGAGGTTTACACTTTGATGAAACCAACTATAGACCACACCACTTGAAATAGAATCATGAAATATGATGATGATGAATAAATGATTTGGTTGGTTGGTTGGTTTGTTGTTTAACGCCGCACACAGCAATATTCCAGCTATATGACGGCGGTCTGTAAATAATCGAGTCTGGACCAGACAATCCAGTGATTGACATCATGAGCATCGATCCTCGCAATTGGAATCGATGACATGCATCAACCAAGTAGGGCTGGGACGTGTAACTCGGGTACCCGGGTCGGGTGGGTACGGAGTAGGACCTGGGTACCAACAGGTCTACCCGGACCCGTGGTTAGTCACTTGATACATTGTTTAATGATAAAAACTATCTAGAACTCTGTGGTTACACTACAAGTCACAAATGTTCGCATTTCTTTCTGACTATGCACCCATTCCTTCTGACTTTTCAAATCTTTGACTAAAGATATAACTTGAGTGTATGCATGACCAGATTAATACTTGTATGTTAATACGTTTTGTCAGTGCTATGGTAAAAAAATGCCCATTCGGACATTTTGTACCTATCTCTTGAGACCTACAGTGGGTACCCAGGTAGGGTCGGGTAATACGCGGGTGGGTACCCGGGTAGTAAATTCGGACTCGTCCCAGCCCTACAACCAAGTTAGCGAGCCTGACCACCCGATCCCTTTAGTCGCCTTTTACGACAAGCATAGTCACCTTTTACGGCAAGCATGGGTTGCTGAAGACCTATTCTACCCCGGATATCAAGAAATATCCATTTTCTTCGCAATGAACATGATGATCATCTCTGAGTTTTGATCATGTGGTTAGTACCGTTACAATTCGGGTTAGAATCAGCAGTCCGGTGACTGCGAGCGGCTATATTTAGCAACGTGCGGTGTACATACATTACCAACATGAACTGAAAGTGAGAATGTATTTAAAGCGCTTTTGACCAAGTTCACTGCTAAATATAACTGCTGGCACTCAGCTGACTGCCAATTCTTAATACCAGCAGGCTGCTGCCTCCCAAGGTGGAACCCCAGTCCATCCATACTCAGTAGCCCTTGTGGACATTCGATCCCCAGTTCTGTCACGAAGCCCCACAACTGTTTGTTTAGTTGCCACTTCATCTTACCGAGGCAAGTGAGTTAACTGACTATAAACATCCAGTTTCCACCCTTGCCGAACTAGGCTGGTATTATGGAGTTATGTTTTGGTTGGACTAATAAGTCTATCCATAGTCCAGTCAAAATGTGCAACAAAATCAAAATCGGGTTTGTAAACTCATGCAGATTTTGGTCAATTGCAGGATTTGCAAAGCATGTGCACTGCCAGCTCGTTGTCAACAGGTATTTTCTAAATCTTTTCATGTGTTTATCTAGGTGATCACGTGATTTGATGCACTTTGGGATATAAGACTCATTTTATCACAATATAGATCTTGATTATCCATCAGATTGTCTTGACTGGGCACGCCATTTTGTTTGAAGCAAATGCATGTGATACTAGAGGTGGAATCTGATTGGTCCATAGGAGAGGCTCAGAAGGGACATAACTTGTAAAAGCCACTGGTGGCACTACGATAGAGCCAAGGAATTCCAGCCCAGTTTGGCAAGGGTTGAAATTAGACTTAAAGTCAGTAAACTCTCTTGCCTCGGGAAGATGTTACCTGTTTGTTGAGTCCTCTTTCTCAATTTGACATGCTTCAGTCCAGTGACTTGCTGATGATTGACTTCAACTTTGATGTACTCCACTTCTTAATATTTTAATTGACAAAACAGTATTGAGCAGTCATCACAATTTTTACCCTAGATTGTCATCACCAAATATAGATGATGGTAGCATGCTATTAATAGGGAAGCTGCCTTATATGCCACATTTAAACATTGGTTGAGGGAGTTTGGAAGATGACCCCAGCTCTGGTCAACCCGCCACCAGCACCACAAAAGAAAAGATTGACCTGATACAGAACAATAAACACATCACAACATGACTTAGAGGAGATCTCAAGCTCCTTGTATGTGGTCAACAGAAACAATCCGTTATGAACGTCTACACAAGTCAAAGGTTTAGTCCCATGGGTTACTGGAATGTCATCGGATGAAATGAAGGTTATATGGGTTACCTCTTCTAACTGCCTGTTAACAAGATAGAAATGCAACTCAGAAGATCCATTACAATGATCCAAGACCAAACAGGAATCCAAGGCGTGGAAACACGTTGAGTCTGCCAAACTAAGAAGTTCAAGACAAGACAAGATCATTAAATATGTTATGGCCACCAACTAGAATAGCAAAGGCAAAATACACATTGATCTTTGACCACGGGGATCACTATGCAGCGTTAGAAAATGGCACCAGTCCTGTGGTCCTTGCCAAACTGCCCAATAATTAAGGTATCATAAGGAGAAGTAGAAATTTGCCATTTTTAAGGGTTTTGCCATATGTTATAATTATAAGGACTAGTGGTATAAAACTGTTAGTTTCTACTGATGCTATGAATGGTGAGTAGCATGCCATAATACTGACAAAGATATTTTATTGAAAAGATCTTCTTTTGAGTCTTATCAAAGAGAACTGTCATAGCAAACTTCAACATGATGTTCTCTGCAGCATGTTGCAATGGCTGCTGTATGGGAATGCAAACAGACCTAACCCATCCTCCTTATACACCACATCTGGCCCATGACTGCCACCGAATTTAAGATTTGAATAAGAACTTTCATGGTCAGGAACATAAAGAGGAGCAAGAATGGGTTGCTTCTGAGGGAGGCTGGCTGACAGACCAGGATTTGAGCTTCTACAAAACAGTGATAAACTAACCTGGACAAGAGATGGAACAAATGTAATGAACTATGGGGACTATGTTGAAAAAAGAATTAAAGCTCTCAATAATATTTCAGATGTATGTAGACCGCCTCCATGGTCTAGTGGAAGAGCGTTCGCCCGGAGAGCGGAAGGTCCGGGGTTCGATCCCGCGTCATACCAAAAGACGTTAAAAGATGGTACTTGTTGTTACCCTGTCTGGCGCTCGGCATTAAAGGGCTAAAACAAGGACTGGTCGGCTCGGAGTCAGTATACTGTGTCTGAGTGGGGTATTCATGTTAAACTGCGGCATAGTATCTCAGTGTGCTAGCACTATAAATCGTAGTACATAATTGTAGTACAAGCAGCCACACACACACGAGCATGCACGTCGCTATATAAGTGCAATAATCTTGGACGCGACGTTAAACCCAATTTCGGGGGAACGGGTGGCCCAGTCGTCTAGATTCGCTGTGCAGAGTTGCATCCCTTGGGCTCGCCAGAAACCTATGATTGTGGGTTCGAATCCCAGTTCACCCCGATTATGTTTCTAGGTTTGTCAGCACCATACCCGTGCTCGTGGGTTTCACCGAAGTGGTAAACGTCTGAGACCTGCATCACTTCGGGCTTTCCTCCCACATTAAGCTTACACGCCGTGATATGACTGGAATACTGTTAACAATGGCGTTAAACCCAACTCACTCACTCACTTAACCCAATTTCACCTCACCTCACCTCAACATTTTGACTTACACCACTAGGGTTTGTTATATCCGTTGCTTCATCAGGTTAGTCTTTGTAAAGCGTCCATCATGATAATAGCCCATGTGCTGTATGTGGGTTAGCGCACCCCTACAAGGGCGATATGGATTCAGAGCCTAGAGGGGTCATGAACGAATACGTACAACTATTTCCATCTCCGGTTCAACTAAAGTAATCACCTATGTTGAAGAAAGGCACAATTTCTTTGTTTTAAACATTTATTAAATATAACACTTCACATATCACTTTTGCACAAAAACGAGCAAAACAACCCCACAGATAAAATTTTAAATATCTAAAACAACAATAAAGGACTTGACAGAATAGATGGGTACTGGAAGTATTACATGGTAAAACACTGTTACAAACACTTAACATGGTTGCTGTTAAAAATAACAGCAATAAACAAGTAATTCATTAAATATTCCCATATTTTCAACTGTATAGATATATTTCTCTGGTACAAAATATAGAGGCATAAATGGTAAATATAATTAGTCAATAAACCTTGAAGTTTTGTGTGGTGTTTGGCAGTTGTTGGTGTTTAATTTGAATTAAAAAATAATTTGCCCATTGTGATTCTGTCATATTTCCTTAATCTTTTACAAGCCTACATTAATAAATATATAACCTCAGTTTTACAGCTAGAAAAAAATAGCATCTTTTATAAAGGAAAAGAAGCTTCTAATTCTGTTAAGCACTTGTATGTTAACTAAAACCATTGCAAAACTGACAATTTGAACAATGGATGTCATCGGAACAAATATGAAGTACAAAAAAATGGATTGCTGATGAAGTAAAACAAAAACAATTTCTATGTCAGCGTAGTGTTTGGCTAGAAGCCTATTAAAACATGTATGCATGACTTCTTTGATTACTATGGAAGATATTCATCTTTGAAAATGATGATCAGAAATATGACATTGTTGCTCATGGACAATGCAGACTCTTGGCAAAAAGACTTTCATTGCATCTTTATCTGTTCACTCGATCTGCATTGGATTAAGGAAAAGGTATAAAGTAAGTGTACAGCTATTTACAAGACATTTACTATCTTTATAGTCATAAATACTATGTAGGGCATTGTCTATAACATAATTCTTAAAATAAATCTCTGATTAGAATCTATTAAATTAATCGCATTAAAATTTGATCTTAGTTCTTGCAATCACTAAACAAAGATCTGAGGACATCCCATTACGGGTCACGTCCGAACGACCTTCCATCCGACCAATCAAAGCGTTGCTTACCAGATCATGAAAGTGACAGTCGGAATGTGTTTTCTAATCATGCAACCTCGAAAACGTTTACACGGGGTATTCCGAACAACAGTTACAGCCCGTACAACTGATTCTGTCAAAATTATCGTCTGTCTCTCTCTTCCGTCGGGTAAACATTTGAACGGAGGAGCCATTGCACAGTACATGGGAAGCACTGCCATACAATTGCAACCATATATTAGACATTCTGGAATGTTTGTTTGTTCAGTTTTCAAAATTTTAATTGAGAACTGTGTCAACATATTTTTCGAGTGTAGTCTGAAATGGAAGTTGCCAGGTTGTAACGAGTGCTGTAAGGCTCGAGAAAGCAGCTTTCTAATTGGCTGATGTTGACTTCTTGTTCATCGTTTCAGTGGTCGGTCAAAGTTCCCGAAAGGTTTTTCTGAAGTGACCCGTAATGGGATGTCCTCAGATCTTTGTTTAGCGGCAGCAAGAACTTAGATCTGATTTTTATGAGATTGCTATTAAATAAAAGGCACGCCACCTTTGTAGGGCACGAGAGGTATGGGTAAACATGGAATCAGCAGAATGGGCAAGTTATGATCACAGTGATAAGAATTAATGCTCACCGACGCCCGAAGCGACACAACAGTCAACTGGCCTAATTACTACTAAACTTTTGCTTGTCCCTCTGGGAACTACTTTTTCAGTCCCCAGTCCCCAGTTGATAAGTAAAACACCAAAGTTTGTTCTCTTATAAGAACCAAATTTTAACAACCATGTGCCAAAAAACTTCTTTAGCATGAATTCAATAGAAATGTTCACTTGATCACCCTAAACTTATGCAATGTTTGGTACTACGGATTGGCTTAAAAGGTAAGGAAATTTAAGTATTTCACAATTGCACTTTGTAAGTTAATTTTTATCACTGTTTTCATTGTAAATGTGCTGTAAGAACAACACTGGATCCAAGAATGTATCAGTCAACCTCGTAGAAATCACTGATTCTCTTTGCAAGGATGAGACTCTTCATCTGTGGGGAGACGAGATGGCGGTGCAGCATGCGCACTGTTGCCCCCGGACTCTCCCCCCACACATACACCACATTCTTCATCGGCTGAGGTAGTTTCATGGTCTTCCACTGTGTGATCAGCTGTGTCGGTACCCCAACACGTTCTGCCATCAGACGCCAATCAGCTCCTGAGAAATATACTTTGTTATTGTTCTTACCGTATTCGACTAATAAGCGCCCACGGAGATATTTGCTAATATATTGGCTAGTGAACAAACCCAATTAGCACCCCTTCCGATTGATCAATGTACACAAGACTTATTTATTCGCGTATAATACACACTTGTGTGTTATATGCACCCTTAATTATGGGCAAATAAATTCTGGAAGAACATATCTGTCGTATATAAACATTTCAGGCTGTCAGCATAAACCACAAAACTTTTCTTTTAACTCTGTTTGTTTCACCAAAATAATATTCTAATAAGAGCCCCCTATTTCTTATTTTGAGAGCGCCCGGGGCGCTTATTACGTCGAATACGGTATTCTTATTTTCATATTGTATGATGTCTTGAAAAAGTCAATTTCAGAAACAGTAAAAAGAATCAAGAAAGAACATAACCAGTAGAAACAACAAGAAACAACATAACCAGTAGAAACAACTTCATGTGGTAAAAAAAAAGAAATCTGAAACCAATTCCCCTGTATGAAAGTCAGCTTATTGTACAGAATGACTGAAGATGTGCAGAGTTGTGTCCCCTACCTAACAATATTCATTTTATCCTAGGTGTGTCTCAACCAAGCTTGAGGATATCAGTTTCTTTAAAGTTTAATGACCTGCATTATTTTGACTCTTCCCCTAATGTAAGTGAAATACTGTTCAAAGTGGCATAAAAACCGCAGACTGTATGATCTTTGACCGAAGTCACTCACTATAAATCAGCGTAAGTTGGGTTTAAAGCCACTTTTAACAGTATTTACCTCACATCACTGCATGTCAGCTAAATGTGGGAGGAAAGCTCGAAGTGATGCAGGTCCTAAACTTTTACCACTTTGGTGAAACTCACAAGCATAGGAATCAAACCAAGTTTTTGTTTGTTTGTCGTTTAACGCCGCACTCGGCAATATTCCAGCTATATGACGGCCGTCTATAAATAATCAAGTCTGGACCAGATAATCCAGTGATTGACATCATGAGCATCAATCCAGGCAATTAGGATACGATGACATGTATAAAGTATACTATAAACCAAGTCAGCGGGCCTGACCACCTGATCCTGTTAGTCCCCTCTTACTGTCAAATCAAGTATCATAATCATAAGATATAATAATCATAAGATCCTGGCATGCCAAAGGGACACAATTCTGCACAGTAGACTTGCACATTAGTTTCCTGAACCAGCAGTACCCTATAAAATAAATTAGAATTATCTAATATTCATCTGAGATGATAAGAGATTAAATAGCTTTCACTGACAGAAGGAATACATTCATATTTCCTTGCACATTGTTTTACCTTGTTCAGGCCATCCAGCAACAAACAAGTGTTCTGGCAGCTTATTGTGGTCACAGAAAAACACTATTGTATTTTGTAATACAGTCAAACACTGTAGTGTCGAACTTTCGTTTGTCTCGAAGTAAAAGTTTGGTCCTGCGTATTCCTTCTTTATTTATCATTTTCAGTTGTGTTGAACCTTGTATAACGTGAAATATTTATGTAGGTCCTTCAACTTTGACACAACGGTATTTGACTTACTTCTTTTTGGTCAATAACAATTAATTTCAGAAACGCTGGAATATTATTTTCAACTGAATGTAATGATGAAACATGTAAGGAAATGATGACTGGTGTTGTATATCCCTAATCTCATTGATGTAATGTTTCACGGTGTGTTACTGTGTTGCAAACATGAACAATATGAAATTGATGGAACATTCCCACCTTTGAACTAGTGTCCTGGACAAAGCTACATCTCATGCCATAATAATGTTTGGAGTTTGGGAAGTGTACAAAGGGGAGGTAATATTCTGATATGGTAGAATTGTCTCCCTTTGACCATTTCTGGCACACACTCATCAACATACATTTAGTAATATCCAAGCACTTTCTCACCAAGGCAAACAGAAAGATGGGCTTTCTCTCATTGTAGCCATCCATTGCTCTTAGATGTGTAAAACAGATCTAACTGTTGAATTGCATTTGTCAATGGTGCCATATTCACTGAAATAAACACCTCTACTAGTCCTTATTATCATCTATACCAGTCTTACAGTCACTGCTACAAGTTTCAACAGTATCCTCTACTAGTCCAAACAGTTACTGCTACTACTGGTACTTCTAACAGTCATGACTACTAGAGCTGGGACGAGTACCTCGGGTACTCGGGGTCAGGTGGGTACTGAGTAGTACATGGGTACCCAAAGAACTACCCGGACCCGTGGTAACTCACATGATATATTGCTTCATGACAAAAATGATCTAGAACTCCATGGTTACTATACACTATATGTCACAAACATTTATATATTTGAATAAAGATAAAGTTTCAGTCAACTAGTGTATGCATGACCGGATCATTTTCTAGTGTACCTAAATACTTTTTGCCAGATTTATGGTCAAACAATTCCCAATCGGACATTTTGTACCCATCTCTTGGAGACCTACAGCGGCTACGCAGGATGGGTACCCGGGTTGTAAATTTGGACCTGTCCCATCCCTAAGTTCTACTAGTCTAACAGTCACCTCCCCTACTCTAAGGACTACTGGGACTGAGTGGTCAGGTTTGCTGATCTGCTTGATGCATGTCATTAAGGGCTGGGATGGGTAACTAGGGTCGGGTGGGTACTGAGTAAGACCCGGGTTGGACTACCCGGACCCATGGTTAGTCACGTGATTACATTGTTTAATGGCAAAAATCTAGAACTCTATATGTTGACAAATGTTCACATTTCTTTCTGACTATGCACAAATTCCGTCTGACTTTATATGTTTGAATTAATATAAAACTTCAGTGTCTGCATGACCAGATCGGTATATACGTGAAACTAAATACATTTTGACAAGAGTACGGTCAAACATTTCCCAATCAGACATTTTGTACCTATCTCTTAGGACCTACAGTGGGTAGATGGGTAGGGTCGGGTAATAGTGGGGTTGGTACCCGGGTAGTAAACTCATCCCAGCCATAATGTCATTCTATCCGAATTGCGCTGATCGATGTTAATGATGTCACTACTGGATTGTCTGGTCCAGATTAGATTATTTACAGACTGACGTCATATAGCTGGAAAAAAGCAACCAACAAACAAACAAAACTGCTCCTAACAGTCACCTCTACTCGTCCAATCACGGTATCCCCTCTACTGGCCTCCTACTCACCATTGCCTTTATACAGACTGAGGTCCTGAATGACGAGCTGCAGCAGCCCCTTGTGCATGTTGTTGATGTGAGTATCGCCAGGCAGCTTACAGGGAGGCTTCAAGAAAACAACACATTCATTTCAAATTAAATTAACGGCCTTGGCAAGTAAATTTTAACAAATATAGGTTCATTTTATTCATCCAAAATAAATTTCTACAGCTAAATATGATATTTACCCAGAATCATAATCTAAATGCAATTATATTCTGTTATGTCATATTTCTTCTTACTTGTTTCAAAACACAGCAAAGAAGTTAAATGTTGAAATGTTTCAAGATTTCATTAACATTGATAAGAAAACCATGTAAATTAATCCAGTGCAAGTAATTTCAGAATTTAATTCTCACGAATCAGCATAAACTCACTCAACCACACAAAAAATCTCAACTAAGTAGAATCAAGGGAGGTAACTCACGGTAGCTATGTGCACCCTCTCCAGGTTGATTCTGACTGCAAGGGGGAGGTTACTGTGAGCGGACACTGGGCGGCTGGTGGGGGTGGGAGCTGGCGAGGGATCAGATGCGGCAGTCACTGGCTGGATTGATGGGGTGTCCTCCACTTCTATCTTCGGGGCAACAAACACTTGTGTGCCACCTGCAATACCAATAAAACAAAGTTGATCAACTTACAGATCATGTTTACTGTTGTGACATCTAATAAGAGCATGTCAGTAATGAGATCAGGCCAAAAGAAACTGATTATTTGTTCTTCAGATTTCTTTTCCAAAGTGAGGACAAGGAGGAAGACATTGATGGATTTAAAAGAGTTTGATATTTTCTGTTGCCAGATTGTTACGAGGGTCGATTGATAAGCTCTGAGCCACATTGTGTATTCTGAGCCACACATAGAAGGAATTGGGTATTAGTGAAAGCTTTTGTTGTGGACATTAACATGATGTCATAGGGGTATATCCACCAAAACTTCAGTCAATTGAGCAAATTTATTTTGCTGTAACAAGTCTGTAAAATAAAGCAGCGGTTTGAGACCTTTGGAAAATGGACAAACTTGAAGAATGTGCAGTAATTCTGCACATTCAAAGAAAATATTTCTCTGTGACTGTTTCTCTTTTGAACTGATTTTACATAGGAATATATACTAAATATTACTAATTTGCCTCATTGAAATACTTCTATGTTCTCTCTGTGAGACTTGGTTTATACAAGATTCAAGTTCAAGGTTCAAGAGGTTTTATTGTACTTAAGGCCTCTGGCCCATATACAAAACAAGAGTACAAAGAGATAATAACTGAGTACAACACAGCTTGTTTATACATTGTTGTTATGTGAAAAAATATATTTAACAATCCGTGCAGCAGGCCAAATTTTCTTTCATAGGCCAGTCAGTACCCTCCAGTTGAACCACCTCCTGCATGTAGTTCTGTGCTTGCATCTCTGTACAATTAGTAACATCCATCAGGTATAAGGTAAATGTAGATTTCACCTGGGCACGGTTTAGTAAGAATATGGCTGAGGTACTTCTCATAAACAAGCCTCAAACATGGTCCAAGGTATCCCCAGGAATGTCTAGCCTGCTACACTGGTTTGGAGAGATTGTAACCACACATACTGTTGCGGACAAAATGTAATGTAATAAATCTGTACATGGATGTATTATATACTCTTTGCCAAAAGAAACGCGAACCATAGAAACATAATATTATAGAGAAGTATGTACGTTAAGAATAGATGTTTCCAATGTGTACAGCTTAATGCCAAAACTAACAATCAGTTAAATGTTACCACAGAGTGTCTTCATTCACCATGTATGGTGTTCACGTTTCTTTTGTCGGTGAGTATATATCCTTGGTCATTGTTATAGTTTTCAAGAAATTTAATTCAAGATAATGTAATCCTTCCCGGCTAACATCTGATCATCATGGCAAATTGAATGAAGCGGCTACTCACATGACTCATACCACAGGTACTTGGCCTTCTTCCTGAGTTCCCCATCATCTCGACATCGGTCCAGGTCCTGCAAACCATTCTCTACTTTCAGCTTTAGTTTGAACAGTTTTGCCAGTTCTGTATTTAACAAAGTCACTCGAGTTTCCAGCTCTTCTAACCGGTTTTCATCAAAATCTTTTGATTTATGTGACCTCGTCTTCACTCCATTCCTATTCAGCTCTGCAATCACAGCCAATAATTCAATCATTGGAATTTCTAAAATGTCACAGTTGGCATCAAAATCCATTTCATTTCCACTCTGTCTCCCTGCTTCGACTAAACGTAGAGTCAGAGTTCTCAATTTTTCTTTTATCTGTTCATTTTCTGTTTGAAGTGTTGTCACTTGTTCCCTGAGTTGTGAGGTCTCCTTGTTGAGATCATCAAGATGTTTAGAGTTACTGCCCCTGGATGAAGGTCGCGAACTTGTCTTTGATTTGCTCTTTGTTGATTCCCTTTTAGGTGAGCTTACTTTTGTTGCTGACATCTTTGATTTTTACAGTTTCACACATTACTCAACTATCTGAAACATGAAGAATAAAACATTCAGAGGCTGATGATACACATACAAACCACACTGATAACATCATTGGTTGGTTGGTTGGTTTGTTGTTTAACGCCGCACTAAGCAATATTCCAGCTATATGACGGCGGTCTGTAAATAATCAAGTCTGGACCAGACAATCCAGTGATTGATATCATGAGCATCGATCCACGCAATTGGGATCGATAACATGTATCAACCAAGTCAGCAAGCCTGACCACCCGATCCCATTAGTCGCCTTTTACGACAAGCATAGTCGCCTTTTACGGCAAGCATGAGTTGGTGAAGACCTATTCTACCCCGGAATCTTCACGGGTTACTGATAACATCAAACAATGAGATGAGGAATGTAACAATATATATCAAACTATCAATGCACAATAAACTACGTTTATAATGAACTCAAAGGGACCACTAATTTTAGTTTGTAATAACTGTAGTTCGTTTTAAGCATATATACAGCAAATGGCTTGGACTAAAAAAAAAGTTTGTTATATCGGTCAGTTTGTTATAAGCTTGTTTGTTATAAACATAGTTTACTGTATTGCAATTGTTTGCCCAATTCTATCATATCAAAAGGAATTGTAAATGCCAATGGTCCTGTCGATGGTATGCATTGTAATCGATAGTTTCAGTCACAATGAGTTTGTTATTAATTACACATACTATATGCATGTATCCTGGAACATGAACACTATATTTCCTTTTCACAATTTATTTTAATTATTAATTATTATCTGATTACAAACTGTTACTGATAATTATTTTAACTTGTCATACAAAGTCTGTTTATATTACCACAACTTGGACATTCCACATCAAGTGTATTACATTTTTCCAATCAGTTTTATGATCATGACATTTTCAGCCTAATGGTATATGGTAATACGCACTGACACTCCCTCTGACTTAGTTTCGTATCCCAAATCTCAGGTACAGCTCAATTCAATAGCTCAATCTAGCCTAAATCAATAACCATGATAACCCCAAACCAACAAACTTACTACCAGTTATAAATCATTACGTGAATCATTCAGTGATCTTCAGTGTTAAAACGAACTTCAAACACCCCCGTGTAATGTGCTCTATCATTAACACCTGTCATGTTTATAACCATCTTCGTCAGTTTATGGTACAAATGTTATCTTGACGACTAGTATTGGTAACACATGTCTCTAGTAAACCTCTCTTGTCAATATTTAACTGGAGACATGCCTTTATCTTGTACCTTGGAATTTAATTCCATACAGTGGACCATTGAATTTGGCTGTTTGTCTCTGCGATCAGTCAGTGTAGGTACATATTTGCACCGGACAAAAATAATTTCGACAGAACTGAAACCCAAATATTACACATGTGCAATCTGTGGGACTGCATTTTCTGCCAAGCAAATAAATAATATTTTGTTGGATTAAGGCCACATAACAAATTTTTTATTTCTAATCACTGAGAAACCCCAAACATTGTCCTGACCATATTTTTTTCTCTCCTCATAATAAATTCAGTTCTGGCTCTGCATGTCCATGGGTATTAACGAATTCCAAAGTTTCACTTTTTGATGCAACCCATTCAAACAACTACTATGAGGTTAAGCTAGATTAAATGTACCATGTACTTGACTCTGGCTTCAGACTAGTGGCTTTAGCCTGTATCTAATATACAATGTTATTGTTCTAGCTGGTTATTGAGAAAGGTCTTGTTCGTGTTCTTGGAATTTGATTGTCAAATTGTTTCAAGAATCGCACCAACATTGAATATTTTGCATCCCTTTTGCACAACACAAATGACAATGCTAAATGTCAAAGCCATGCAATGACACAAACAACAATAGATACACAAGTCTCTCGTCTCTTAACCACTTCCCCTCGATAACATACTCCACGAATAATCTTCTAAATCTACTGTTGCTCATATCAGGTAAACTGCTGTCTAACCCACTGCTGGGAAACCCAGAGTAACGCATCAATCTCTGGTCGACCTTTGTGACATTTCAAGACCTTTCAGTGACCTCTTCTGTTTATTCAGCTATCATGGAGTAGTAAAGCCGCAATCAGATTTGTGTGCTTGAGTGTTTTAGTGCTCTGTGCGGCAATTTGTCATCTTTCTACCAGGGAGATCTCATTAGGACAAGCAGAGTGTATAACTGATCGATAAACAACTCAAAGACCTCTCAGGAATTAAATCTTAAATCAAGATAGATTATTTTAACATTGCAGCAACAGTGCTTGTTGTCAAGTCATTTTTTAAATTCATGGAATCAGTTACATGACCAATCTGTAGTACTTCAGTCAGCAATATTCCAGCTACCATATTCGACGCAATAAGCGCCCAGGGCGCTCTCAAAATTAGAAATAGGGGGCTCTTATTAGAATATAATTTTGGTGAGAAAAAAAAACGAGTTGAAAGATTGTAAATTTCATAGTTGATGCTGACAGCCTGAAATGGTACAAAAGAAAAGTCTGTGCGTATTATACACGACAGATATATTTTACAGAATTTAATCGCCAATAATTAAAGGTGCATGTAACACACGAGTGCGTATTATACACGAATAAATAAGTCTTGTGTACATTGATCAATTAGAAGGGGTGCTAATTGGGATTGTTCACTAGCCAATATATTTGCAAATATCGCTGTGGGCGCTTATTAGAGCGGGGCGCTTATTACGTCGAATACGGTATATCAGGTCATTCCTAATCAAGTCAGGGCCAGGCACACTAGTGACTGATTTGTTTGTTGTTTTACACCTCACTCAGCAATATTCCAGCTATATGACGGTGATCTGTAAATAATCGTGTCTGGACCAGACAATCCAGTAATCGACATCATGAGCATCGATCCACGCAATTGGGATACGATGACATGCATCAACCAAGTCAGCGAGTTTGACCACCCGATCCCGCTAGTCGCCTCTTACGACAAGCAAAGTCGCCTTTTAAGGCAAGCATGGGTTGCTGAAGACCTATTCTACCCCGGATCTTCACGTGTCTCACGGCAAGCATGGGTTGCTGAAGACCTATTCTAGCCCGCATCTTCACATGATACATGCATCATGACACCAACTTATTGTGACACAAACCAAACCCAGCTGGGGGGCACAGTTGGCCCAGTCGTCTAAGGCGCCGCGATTCGCTGTGCAGAGTTGCGTCCATTGGGCACGCCAGAAACCTATGATTGTGGGTTCGAATCCCGGTTCGCCCCGATTATGTTTCTAGGTTTGTCAGCACCATACCCGTGCTCATGGGTTTCACCGAAGTGGTAAACGTCTGAGACCTGCATCACTTCAGGCTTTCCTTCCACATTAAGCTGACACGCTGTGATATGACTGGAATACTGTTAAAAGCAGCGTTAAACCCAACTCACTCACTTACCCAGCTTTTCATACAATCCAATGAAAATGGTGGCTGAAATGTATGGCTGGCTGAGTTGGGAACAAAATGTCTGATTAGTAATTGTTTTACCCCAGCCCTGGCCAAAATTATTTAGATACATGTATCAAACGAACAGATCATGCGTACACTGAAGTTGAATGAAGTTTTATCTTTACTCAAATACATACAAGTCAGAAGGAATGTGTGCATCGTCCGAAAGAAATGTGAACATTAGCGACTTGTAGTTTTGATAATTTTTTAATAATTTAAAAAGACTTGATTCATGAAAATAGAATAAAATAAAGTCTCTTAGTAGTGTTTACATATTTTCGGTATTTAAAGCCACAGCTTAATTTTGGAGGAACTATTCAGTCCTATGAGGTGTTGAATCTAGTTATAAGGACCTGTGCTTAAATCCATGCATTCCCAGTAATCTTACCATATATAACCCATTTTATTTTTTTGCATATTTAACATTTGGTTCTAATGCATGCTCACATACAAAGCATGTTGAAAGACAACCCAGAAAACAGCCTTATTCATTGACACACTCCACCAATCATGTCAACCCTTGACATAGCCTTTTGTTGATGCCCAATATATTGGCACAGGGCAACATCAGGGGTGAATCAGATAGACCTCACACAAAACAACTTAAAACGCTTGGAAATCTGATCCTGCATCTATAAATCACAAAGGATACAGTATTATACCGTATTCGACGTAATAAGCGCCCAGGGCGGTCTCACAATTAGAAGTATAGGGCTCTAATTAGCATATTATTTTGGTGAAAGATAAATTTCCTGGTTTATGCTGACAACCTGAAATGTTTATATACGACAAATATATTTTAAAAAAATGTGATTGCCCATAATTAAGGGTGATTATAACACACAAGTGTTTATTATACGCGAATAAAAAAGTCTTGTGTACATTGATCAATCGGAAGAGGTGCTAATTAGGATAGTTCACTAACCAATATACCATCAAATATCGCTGTGGGCGCTTATTACGTCGAATACGGTAATAACGGAATCACATTTCCCATGAAAGTAAACCCACTCTGTTGTTAACTGCTACAGCTAACCTCCAGACTGCAACTTTTCAGACAATAGTCTAGATCCCATTTCCTAATATTGCGATTTATAATTATATGTAGACACTGTGTGAAAATTGGACCTTGTTTCTTTGTAATCAGGATAATTGGTAGCTGCTGAATTTGATTAGTAGACAAAGTGGGTTTGAATGACTACAATCAAATTTCCTGGGACTGGCAATTGGACTGAACATAGCGCCTCCTTTAATTAGTCATCATTTCTTAATTTTCTAATTTTGACTAACTGGGCTCGATCCAAGGGCCAATCACAACACTCAATCGTATTTGTAATTTGTATAATATATTATTTCATTTCCTTATTCAGTCTTCAATCGATTATGAAAATAAAAAGATACTGCTACAAAATACACTGAGGAAAACAACTGTTATGTCTCTAAATGACTGACGCACAATGTGACCTCTTGTTACTGCAAACACTAAATATACAAAGCAAACCCTTCTCGGACAGCGGTGAATACTTTTCCATGTTATTCTTCACCCTAAATAAATTACTTATTGTTTTGAATCACATAATGTTTTGCCAAATGAATTAAGAATTATAAGATACTTGCAGGGTATGAAACTCCCAAAAATTTCAGCCAGACCACAGGACTGGCTAGCTGAAATACTTGCCAGCCCTGACCAAAACCTGCCTGCCCACTATAATCATATGTTTCTCAGGATAAGCTAACAGGGTTTCTTTTTGGTTACATTTTATCATTCATCTTTACATGTGAATTAATGCTTATCATCGGGAAATATTTTGAATATTTTCACATATGAAATATAACCCGACCGTCGGGCAGGGGGATTTGAAAATCTGGCAGCCCGAGTTGAAATCAACCCGTCTCGGACGGTCGGGCAGGCGGGTATTTCGAACACTGATACTTGTCTCTCATACAAACTCACACAAACCATGTGTTCCAAGTCTACAAAACATTGGCATTATACATTTCCTCAGATACGTTTAACTCAGTTGTACCCAAGAGATTTAAATACTTTCATTTTAAAGACTAAATAGTCTAATCAGCATGATCATATACACAAAGGATGGTGTATGTTTCTAGTATTTGAACATGAGCCAGTCTATGATCTAAGCTGATTTTCTACAGAGATGTTGGCATAACAAGCACATGTCATAAAACTCTGGGTCAAAGTTTGGTCTTTATCACCATTTCTAGACACAGTAATGTAGATCATCTGTCCACCATTTGCAAAAGATAGAAATAACAAAATACAAATGTTCCATAAATTTCCTCCCAATATTTCAAAGCCTACTGTACTTGAAAAATTTAAACATTCATCCCCAAAAAACCCTTATCCTATTACATGATGTATTTAATTTCTGCCTAAGTCTGACATTATGAAATCAGGCTTTGAAATTAAGGGGGTCCTGTGGTCCTTAGAGTATGGTATTTGAATCAAGAGACCCCCTAAATCTTAAATTCTTACCTTAGGATTGTGTCAAGAACCCCTTAATTTCAAGCTTAATTTCAAACATTTGAATAAGTTTTGCCTTATTTACTTGCAGCAAGTCCTACCAAGCAATACATACCCATACATGGTGGCGCTGACACTGTTTACTGGTTGACAGACAACAGTTCCACCTGTGCTATAACTGTTATAATGGCTATTCAACATGTAGAAGCAATTGAAATATGTGTCCGCTGTGAGCATGGTGAGTGGACTGAAAGGAGTGAATAGAAAACTGGGACTGATTTTTTTCTTTTCTCCGTTGCATTATGTCCAGTTGTGATTCAAGCTGTCAGCAGACTAGCTCTTACCTGTACTTAACAAATGTCATACTTGAGAATGTCATATAAACATATTTATTTCCATAAAGTGGAGGGATTGGCAAACAAGCAAATTTTGCTTATCTGAATGCCTCTCCCAAACATGATACATATACAAATTACAATGTGTTGAAAGTAACATGAGAAATAGCATACATTATATAATTGACATCAAAGATAGTTATTGTTCTGTAAGTGTTTAATTACAGGATTATCTCTTGTAACTACAGCTACATTATCATGTACAGCTACGTTATAATTTACATCTTGAGAATGTCAAGTCAGCTGTACAATGACTAACTAAAAGGATATTTATCAGAGGTATTATTCCACGTGAAATAACTGATAATGCCAGTGTTTAGAATCAAGGATGAAAGTCCTGTCGGAATGTAAAAGTTGAACATGTTGGATGACCCTACATTCTAATATTAAAGAAGCAAATAGGGAATAAACCTCAAGGATCATTTCAAACAATAACAAATAATGCAAATAGCTTAAAACTGAATTACAGAGGCAGAAGAAAGTATTATGCGACAACAAGTTAAATACTTCTTGTTTTTGCATCACTAAATCACCGACCTCTATTCACACAGAATCATCCAATTTTAAACATCAAAAGCAAAGTCCTTGCCAAGAAAGTTGTTGAAAAATCAGGAGTAATTTGACACTTTGACATAACGCCTGAAATGCTATCCTCCCAAAGTATCAACATACCAAGTCCAAAACAAAACATTAATGGTCCAGTGAGCAGCCATACCTGTTCCCTTTATCCTCAAGTGGACTAGTCTTACAACTTACAAATACCAAATGGCTGAATGATAAAAACAGAATGATTATTTATTTCCACATGTGAAAATCAACGAACTAAGAAATGAGGAAGTCTGTTACCTGATATAATCCCAATACACAAGACCCCGATCTTGATAAGGATACAACAACAACTGAAATCAGTGGTGCATGAGTTTGTACAGGGTGGTCACTAAGCATTGTGGCATGTTGTGCCTGCTGTCAGCCATGAATGGAGGGTCTAAATAAACAGGGCCAAGTACCTGGAACCATGCTTGAATAAAATAGTAATTAAAATTACATAACAAGGGTAATACTTCAAAACGTCTTAATGAACCACATTATAATCCTGGTTGTAATTAACTATTGTTCATGTCATTAACCAACCAGTGATTGGCACCATTCACTAACGAGATAATCGTTGAATATAACAATATATTGTAAGGTGAGTGAGTTTGGTGTAACACTGCTTTTAACAGTATTCCAGTTATATCGCAGCGTGTCAGCTTGGAAGGAAAGCCCGATTTGATGCAGGTCTCAGATGTTTACCACCTAGGTGAAACCCACGAGCACGGGTATGGTGCTGACAAACCTAAAAACATAATCGGGGTGAACCGGGATTCAAACCCACAATCATAGGTTTCTGACATGCCCAAGGGACGCAACTCTGCACAGTGAATCGCGGCGACTGGTTTACCCCTGCCCCTGTATTGTAAGGGATGTGAAGGCAATTGGCAAATATATTTCTAAATAATCAATCAACACTTACAAAAAATTTACCTGCTATATGGCTAAGATTTCAGCAGACCATTAAATATATCATGGTCTCTAATTTCAATAACAAAGTTTTAACAGCATTATGCGTCATAACATTTGTACTGTGAAAATGCAAAAGAAAAAATGTTTCAGCAATAATCAAAAGATGTGAAATTGAAAAAAAATGTTAAAATATTATTCCATTAAATACTTTAGAAGTCTTTACCCTATTTTCCAAATTTTCTTGCCATGTCAACATGGTTCTAATGGATTATAAATACCAAGGCTGGATATAACATAAGCTAATTGTACCAGAGAGATAACATGGAGTCTATTCAAGTCAAAGTACCAGAAAGTATGTTCACAACATGTTCTCTTCTCCATAAACTGACATGACAGCTCTCATTCAATAGGTCAGATATATCAAACGTGTCTATTGTTAAGCCTCTACGGGTTTTCTATAGAGGTACATAAGTGTGCAAATCCCGCGATATTTCAATATCAATAGTATCAATAGACCTCTTTTCAGGGTAATTATGTCCATGAATCTCATAATGTTGTTGGAAAAGTCAACATATACTGACAGGAGTTCGGAATAAAATCATGAAACAGTGATTTGTAACCTCAGTTCGACCATATCAGTACCAGGCAGGTGCCCGTTTTGTCAAAATGTCACGTTCAGTTTTAAAAAAAGTAAAGAAAATAATTTAACTTACCTTTTAAAACTCTCACAGTATAATCCTTTACGCTCCCGCGCCAACAAAGACGGGCCGCTGTCAATAGGCCTCTGATAATACCCTCTCACGACCATTCAGTTTACATTGGATACGGCGTGCCTAAAAATCAGGACAAAACCGGTCGTTCTAAGCGCAATATTCTTTAAATGTTGTCGGTTTCTTTGGCACGGTTGATGAAATATATCTTTTGTAACTAGTGAGGTTATATTTGAACTAGATTTTAAAATTGTAATTCATCCCTTTTCCTGAAAAGCCCATTGAAATATAATCGGAACATTTTCCCGGTTACCTATGATCCGATTTGTCGATTTGTTTACATTCTATATACTATATTCTTTGCAACTATCAACAGATACGTGTTTTGTAAGAATACGTCAGTTTGCTGGAAATCTTGATAAAAAAAACATTATTATGAGGCTAAATTAACAGGACATTTTGTCATTTAATTTACATTGTTCAAGTGTTTTACAGTATTATTAAAAGTACCAGATAGCTATGTTTGTGTTATTTTTCAAATGTACATATTTGTTATCTATCAAATTTTATTTGACATTCTTTACTGACATCATTTGATACTCTATTCATTGGAAGTTTGCGCCTCTTCTATACTTCTCTTTAGCTTTTCTTAGGGCTTCCTCTGTCAATTTAAAGAAATTGTTCAGGTTATAGTCAATGTATCGCACTTCAAATGTGAGGCCAGACCAGTATTGTTTCTTGTCTTAGAGATTTTCTTGGTTAACATGGAAAGATGCAGGTGTGAAATAAATATTTGACATTAATTTCCTTGAATTAACCACTTGTTGAAACATAATTATTTTTTAGTTATAACATAAATACCATATTCGACGTAATAAGCGCCCGGGTCTAATAGGCGCCCTCGGCGATATTTGCTAATATATTGAGTAGTGAACAATCCAAATTAGCACCCCATCCGATTGATCAATGTACACAAGACTATATATTCGTGCATAATACGTTTGTTATATGCACCCTTAATTATGAGCAATTAAATTCTGGAAAAATATATCTGTCGTATATAAACATTTCAGGCCACGAAATTAACGATCTTTCAACCCTGTTGTTTTTCACCAAAATAATATTCTAATAAGAGGCCTCTATTTCTAATTTAGAGAGTGCGCTGGGCGCTTATTATGTCGAATACGGTACAACAAAATCATGGTCCTGATAAGAATATTTTCAATAAAAAAACCGATGTATCTTTCTTTCTTTCTTACTTTTGATTTTTTCAGCAGACTCCATGAAACAAGAAGCAACACATTGGTTTGACATATATGTATCTGTTGAATAATATTTATTATTACAGCGTTTACTTATCATTATTTTTATATGGGAAACACAACAAATATTGTCAGTAAGTAACATTTATTATTTATCTTATTAGGGTGGTTTCAGTTTTTTTCTGAATTATTTTTAGCATTACTTCAACTCAACGAAAAAAAGCAGGGATACCTGGGATGAAAAAACCCTTTCTGTCATTCCTGGTCAGGGAAAATAATTGAAACAACAGCAAATTCAAGGCGTGACTTCATGAAATGACAATGTATGTTGTTCACATACACATCAGTTTTGTCATATTGATTAATGTTGTTAATCATTCATTAAAAGTTGTTTGATAAATATAAAAAGTGTTGGTGACATGGTAAAAATTATTATCTTATACAATGCCAGACCAATTTAATTGATTGTTTTATGAATGTTTTTGTTCTGTATTCCAATTTATAAATGTTATCAGGATTATTTTGAGATTAATTCCCCCAAACAAACAATTAAAAAAAGTGTCTAAGAAAACATATTTATTATCATATTTTTTTATTTATCTATTTTTGTTTACTTTACCACATGTGTAGGATGGGCTCATCTGTTAAAGCAAGATAATAAATCTGCCAGGCCTGATATTTTGTGACATGAAATGAGAAACAGGCTATAACATCTTAAACATCATATGTTTGATAAATCATGACAATAATTGAATCTGCCAATATTATCAGTCCAGATTTCAACGAGGTAATTATATCTATTTGACCTAAGATGTTTCTTTCGATTTTATCTGTTGATTTTAAATTGACACATTTCATTTTCCCTGTGATGTTCCAGGTTCAGATTATGTTTGTGGAAATAAAAAAAGATTTAACACAAGAATAACATAATTTTGGCCCATTTTGCCCCTCAAGGAAATAAAGTCCAGTATTTTATCAAAAACATATTTGTGGGAAGATAAGAGGTGTTATCAAAATATGTTATTGAGAAATGTGGTATCAATATGTTGTAACGATGTCTCTCATCGATTAAGCAAGCAGTAGTTGTAACGAAAATGGTAGATACTCTTTGAATACGAAGACAGTCCTTACGATTGTTGGATAGCTTTACTTATCATTAAGTTTATTCGAAACTATGTCTCAAAGTCAACGAATGTCAAGCGCGTCACTTCCGTAAACAGAAATGGCGCTGTAAGAAGAAACAGGCTCCGAAGTATCGATCGATATTTGGTCTAGTATGACTGTGCTCGCCTGTTTCATTGCTTAACTCTCGTCCTAACAGAATTCAGCCAGTTCCCATAAGATTGAATCATTGATCCTTCTTCGATGGGGGTTTACTGAGCAGCAGACGGTATCTTTCGATTTCTTTGAGGACATGGAAAAGGTTTCGGTGGATGGGAAATACACCGTTTAATTGTTTGCCTTTTACAAACGAACGAACCGTGGCGGTTTATTCACCAAGAATATTACTTGGTTATAGTTAGGTGTAAGGATAATTTATCACATTTGGAACTGGTGGCCCGATGACATCATGGTTCCTTGAAGTGCAACGGAGGGGAATCCCAATGTGAAGATTCTTTTGGAGCAGTAAGCTGAGTAGGCTTATAAGCACACAGGTTTGTCAGTCATGACACTAACGGAACATTCTGTTTAGAACAAAAGACACAGCTGTTTTATTTTAGTTTTATTGTTTCACTGGTACAAATGATTTGCTATGCAAAAATCTTCTGAAATTCGACAGTTCCCAAGAGATCATCCAGTTAAGGCCCCTTTGGCTACATTTGACACTATTGACTTGGGTGATGAGCTTCCGAAGGCTGCTATTTGTTCTTCCTTGAAAATTCAAAGGCCTGAACAGCCACATAGTCTAGCCACTGCTGTAAGTCAAGTTCCTTCTCACAATAGCACACAGGCATGTCATCCTTGTGCACAGTCACAGTCAGATAAGTCTAAGCAACAAGTTCAGGCAAAGGAATCTAATTCACTAAGAAATGCCCTTGGTAGAGATGGAAATAAGATCAAGAGTGGTGGGCAAGTAGAAAGAGATCAGGTATATTCACCAGGAAGGAATGTTCCCCCAGTGAATTCAGATGCAGTTTATCGTGATAGAGAGAATGAAGAAGGGTTTGAAAATTATGTCTATATAAGTCATATTCCATCAAGAGATTTGAAAGAGAAAGCCATTATTGTTGGGACAAGGAAGCCCGTTGAAGGTCAGAGTATTGAAGTGGGGAGGGTTCAGCCTACTTCCCAACCAGTTACCAAGATTGAGCCTCCTTCAGTACCTAAGTTATCACGGACATCATCATTGTCATCTTCAAGTTCTGATTCAGAATCGGATGTACGTTGTGTGAGACCAGTGAAAACAAGGAGACCACTGCAGGTGAGAACAAATATTACCAACAGCCCTCGTTCAAGCCCTGTTACTCTCTCTCCTGAAATAATTGACCCAACAACAATAACATCACCTTCCAAAAGAAAGGCATATGAGAAACGCCTACAGCGGTTGCAAGTCAAAACTTCTCCAATTGCCAGACCTAGAAGCACTACACCAATAAATGTGGTTACTCTCGAAGAATATGTTGTACTAAGTTCCCCAGAGAAATCTCCTAATTCACCCAGTGTTGCCGAAAAACTGAAAATCACCTTGCCACCAGATGAATTTTGTGTGAAACCCAGAAGTCCTAGAAAGTGTCAGAGGGTGAAAAGTAGCTCGGAAGAAGATTCCTGTTTTGAATTTAATGAGGAACTTCTATTTAGTCACACTCGATCTGCTTTGTTAATTACCGAAGACGGAAAAGTACCAGACTCCCCTCGAAGAGTGTTGATTCCACCAACTATTTCCCCTTCCTCGTCCCCAAAACTGGCACCTGCGTCAAAACTAAAGAAAGAATTTGACGGAGTGCCAGGGACACCTACGCTTGTTTATATCCAGTCCCCTGACCACGAGAACTGGGCAACATTTCCTGATACCATAGACTCAAACCTTGCCGAAAGTGATAACTGCCAAACTAACCCACTCAGAGCTGGAAACAATAAGGACAATTCTACAGAGAGTGATAGCAGCAAACCTGCCCCCTATGCAAATAAACCTTCAGTTGATCCTTGTGATATAAACAACGAAGAAGAGGAATTCTTAACTATTAATATTGAAGATACTGGTGCCAGTGGAAAGTGTGGAATAGACATTGTTCTGTCTTCTAGTGGGAGCAGTAACATACCCAGCCCCTCAACCCCCGAGAAATCCCCCTTAGAAACCCCCCTGCCGAATCAGAATGGGGAGACTGTGAGCTGTTCCGAATCTCTTCCAATCTCTCGCACCTCCAGTGTCAAAAGCACCAAAGAGGAAGAACTAGTAGAGAAAGTGCTGTCCTCCTCTCCTAGAGAAACATACCTGTAGACAACCAAGCCAAAATAGCAGTAGAAATGGTGGTAAGTACATGTAACATTTTTTACACCTTTGATTAATTTCAGGAACAACATTCTTCCATTTTTTATGATGGTGAAAGGGGAACATTCCTGTGAATTGTGTTTTATGGTTATCATAAGTCCATTTATCATCACCAAAAGTTATCATCTCAAAATAGCCGCAAAACAAGTGACTGTTTCTGTGCACCTCAGATATTGTACTCTGTGTGTGCTTGCTGATGTCTTTGATTCGGTCCTTCCTGGAAAATGTTTTGCCTTGATCATGTTGGTCACATTGGAAATATTCTGGGCATGAAGTTTCCTTAAAAGACGTTTTGCAAGAGAAAGTCCTGTTCAACCTTCCAAGTAACGTCCACAAACCTTATTTTTATTTTTGTGCAGTAGCACTTACTATAATGGCCAAATGGATATCAACAATGTCATCATATTTTCTGGTTTTATATCCTTCCTATTTCACTGGTAGCATAGACATGATAGAAGTATTTGAGCATATTTGGGTTTATTATTCACTCTGCTTGTGTTTCTTGGTTTGTCAGCACCATTCAGAGCTCCAGATAAGCTGCGTTTGTGTGTAAAATACGCATCAGAAATGCAGAAATACGCAGTAAAATATAATCCAAGCGTATCCAATACGCAACAAACATTACAGATACACTACAAAAATAAAACTTGTGCATATCATCAAAATATTGTGAAGTAACCCTGTGTATTCGATTAGCGAATCAGCAACTTATTTTGAAATTATAAACGGGCATTCCGACAACCTTGCCAAACTCCACGATGACAGTTACATCATGATCATTTGCCATCACACTTTCTTGTGGAAGTATCGTGGTATTTGTGAGTCCTATAAAGCTCTCTAACCCACATGACACCAGTTTGCAGGGACTAGATGAATAGTGTTGTTAAATATTTAACTTAAATACCCACATGTGTAAAAACTAGTGGGTAACAGAAATTTGAATACCCAGATAGAATTACTGATACCCAATGATTTTAAAATGCATGGGTAAAATACCTGTAACACCAAAAACTTATCTGGAGCTCTGACCATTGTTGTGCTTGTGGGTTTAACCAAAGTAGTAAATGTCTGAGAGACCTGCATCACCTTTGAACATCAAACTGACACACTGTGATGTCAAAGTGGCATTATGCCCAACTCACTATGACTTTCTTACACAGTGTTTTTCCTAGACATGGATATCAGCAACATATCATGCAGCAAGGTGATGACAGTAGTACCAGTTGACCACTGTTTTTCTCAGTTCACTTTTGATTTAATCAAGTTTGTTGAACCATAAACAAACATTTCTGGAACTACACCATGGAAATACAGGTATCTTGATTATTGACCATGTTTACTGTCGGATTTGTTTATGTGTCTGTTTCCTGTCAAAGTCACTCAAAGGAAGCAGTCATGGGAATGATAACTGATATGAATAATGGATGATTATCCCCCGCCGCGCGAAAGCGCGAAGCGGGGGATATAGTATTCACGTCCGTCCGTCCGTCCGTCCGTCCGTCCGTACGTCCCACCTGTTTGTTGCCGCGATATCTCAAGAACTAAACACTGGATTGTCTTCATATTTGGAACTATGGTGTATATACAAACTCCGCAGACACCAGTCGGTTTTGGTGACCTTGATCCCATTTTCAAGGTCACAGCAGACAAATCTGCTTTTAGAGTTGGAAAACAGTGTTGCCGCGATATCTCAAGAACTAAACACTGGATTGTCTTCATATTTGGAACTATGGTGTATATACAGACTCCGCAGACACCAGTCGGTTTTGGTGACCTTGATCCCATTTTCAAGGTCACAGCAGACAAATCTGCTTTTAGAGTTGGAAAACAGTGTTGCCGCGATATCTCAAGAACTAAACACTGGATTGTCTTCATATTTGGAACTATGGTGTATATACAGACTCCGCAGACACCAGTCAGTTTTGGTGACCTTGACCCCATTTTCAAGGTCACAGCAGGCATATCTGCTTTTGGAGTTGGAAAACAGTGTTGCCGCGATATCTCAAGAACTAAACACTGGATTGTCTTCATATTTGGAACTATGGTGTATATACAGACTCCGCAGACACCAGTCGGTTTTGGTGACCTTGATCCCATTTTCAAGGTCACAGCAGACAAATCTGCTTTTAGAGTTGGAAAACGGTGTTGCCGCGATATCTCAAGAACTAAACACTGGATTGTCTTCATATTTGGAACTATAGTGTATATACAGACTCCGCAGACACCAGTCGGTTTTGGTGACCTTGATCCAATTTTCAAGGTCACAGCAGGCAAATCTGCTTTTAGAGTTGGAAAACAGTGTTGCCGCGATATCTCAAGAACTAAACCTCTCGATTGTCTTCATATTTGGAACTATGGTGTATATACAGACACCGCAGACACCAGTCGGTTTTGGTGACCTTGACCCCATTTTCAAGGTCACAGCAGGCAAATCTGCTTTTGGAGTTAGAAAACGGTGTTGCCGCGATATCTCAAGAACTAATCGCTGGATTGTCTTCATATTTGGAACTATAGTGTATATACAGACACCGCATACACCTATCAGATTTGGTGACCTTGACCCCATTTTCAAGGTCACAGCAGGCAAATCTGTTTTTGGAGTTGGAAAACGGTGTTGCCACAATATCTCAAGAACTAATCGCTGGATTGTCTTCATATTTGGTACTATGGTGTATATGGCGGGGGATATTTCGTCACTCTGTGACAAATGCTTGTTTTATATCAAGTGAAGAACAGCTCTCAAGGAGCGCAGGAAAACCCAAATATTTAAGAAATATTGCTGCATTCTCATGCTCATGTCAATGCATATCAGATTGCATTGTAATAGACTAGATTCTGAAATTAGTTGTGAATTAAGGAAGTCCCATGAGTCTTTGGCATGGTGTGCCATGTGTGCGTGGTGACCATTATATCAGGTCACTGTGACCTTGTAGCAATTGCAGAACAAATGCTTGCAGACATGAACATATGTCGATTAGCAGGAATGTGCAGGTCATTGATCATGCCAATGCTTATCTTCAATGATGTTTTTCAAATTTGATTTTTGTACATCAATTGTACATAATTGATGGAGATGATAAATTCAGACAACTTGCTGGTGACAAAAGGCCTTAGGAATATTTGGGTATATAAACATGATATATGATGAACATGATACGTGGTTATGGTGATAGTTTGTAATCATGGTAGTCACAAAATAAGAGTGTAGTAATAATGTTTGACTTTGGATCATGTAGTCATAATGTTTGACTTGGGATCACATAGTCATAATATTTGACTTTGGATCATGTTGTCATAATGTTTGACTTTGGATCACGTAGTCATAATGTTTGACTTGGAACCATGTAGTCATAATGTTTGACTTGGAACCATGTAGTCATAATGTTTGACTAGGGATCACATAGTCATAATGTTTGACTTTGGATCATGTTGTCATAATGTATGACTTTGGATCATGTAATAATAATGTTTGACTTGGAATCATGTAGTCATAATGTTTGACTTTGGATCATGTAGCCATAATGTTTGACTAAGGCTGATTGTATGTGTCAACATACCCCAGCAGTGTCACTGTCTGGGAAGTTGGTATGCTATCAACCACAAGTTTCCTGACCAAGACTTGATTATTTACAAGCTTTTAAAACAACATTTGTTCAGTCTCTTTTACAGCTGGTTTTTATGATGTGTGATGTGTGACATCATGTGTCTGTGTTTTCTCGGAAGAATAATTTACTCACTGTGGTTGGACATGATGGAATTGTACTTGATATAATGTATGTCACCTGTAACCAACTGCATCAAGCTGTTCCACCATACACAGTGTGTCATGCCTGTAGTATTGATTTACTCCATGTGTAAACTGTTTGTGTCTGTATGAATTCTATAATATGAGTGTTTAACATCAGAAGAACAAAAGTAATCACTCATCATGCTGATGATTACTTCTGGTACCTTTACCAGTTAGTAACTATAGTTAATGTCAGTTACTGTAGTTAATGTCAGTTACTGTAGTTAATATCAGTTACTGTAGTTAATATCAGTTACTGTAGTTAATGTCAGTAACTGTAGTTAATGTCAGTTACTACTAACTATAGTTAATGTCAGTAACTACTAACTGTAGTTAATGTCAGTTACTGTAGTTAATGTCAGTTACTGTAGTTAATGTCAGTAACTACTAACTGTAGTTAATGTCAGTAACTGTAGTTAATGTCAGTAACTACTAACTATAGTTAATGTCAGTAACTACTAACTGTAGTTAATGTCAGTTACTGTAGTTAATGTCAGTTACTGTAGTTAATGTCAGTTACTGTAGTTAATGTCAGTTACTGTAGTTAATGTCAGTTACTGTAGTTAATGTCAGTTACTGTAGTTAATGTCAGTTACTGTAGTTAATGTCAGTTACTGTAGTTAATGTCAGTTACTGTAGTTAATGTCAGTTACTGTAGTTAATGTCAGTTACTGTAGTTAATGTCAGTTACTGTAGTTAATGTCAGTAACTACTAACTGTAGTTAATGTCAGTTACTGTAGTTAATGTCAGTAACTACTAACTGTAGTTAATGTCAGTAACTACTAACTGTAGTTAATGTCAGTTACTACTAACTGTAGTTAATGTCAGTTACTGTAGTTAATGTCAGTAACTACTAACTGTAGTTAATGTCAGTTACTGTAGTTAATGTCAGTAACTACTAACTGTAGTTAATTTCAGTAACTGTAGTTAATGTCAGTAACTACTAACTGTAGTTAATGTCAGTTACTGTAGTTAATGTCAGTTACTGTAGTTAATGTCAGTTACTGTAGTTAATTTCAGTAACTGTAGTTAATGTCAGTAACTACTAACTGTAGTTAATGTCAGTTACTGTAGTTAATGTCAGTTACTGTAGTTAATGTCAGTTACTGTAGTTAATTTCAGTAACTGTAGTTAATGTCAGTAACTACTAACTGTAGTTAATGTCAGTTACTGTAGTTAATGTCAGTTACTGT